TGTATATAAAAGCCTCAGAAAACCCTTCACAAACCTTATAAACTTCTCATTACTACTAGTATTACATGCTCCAACAACTACAATGGCAGCAGCCATAACCAGAGATGAATCCGACTACGACAGCAGCTCCTCATCGATTACCGTGCCCGACTCGAGCCGGAGCTGGATGAGCAACCTAAGCTTTGGTAGCCGCCGGAGCTCGGTTTCTCTTTGTTCTGTTGAAACTTCTCTCTACAGCTCTCACAAGCCGCACAAGGCCAACCAGGCCTCATGGGAGGCCATGAAGCGCCTCAGGAGAGCCAAAGGTCGAGTTGGGCTTGACCATTTTCGGCTCCTGCGAAGGCTAGGAAGCGGTGACATAGGGAATGTTTATCTTTGCCAGATAAGGAACCCTGTGGTTGGGTTGCCTCAGTGTTTTTATGCCATGAAAGTGGTGGACAGAGAAGCGCTTGCTATAAGGAAGAAGTTGCAGAGAGCTGACATGGAAAAAGAGATTCTGGGTATGCTTGATCATCCATTCTTGCCAACTTTGTATGCAGAGTTTGAGGCTTCCCATTACTCTTGTTTGGTTATGGAGTTTTGTCCTGGTGGAGACTTGTATGCTGCCAGGCAACGCCAACCCGAAAAGCGCTTCAGCATTTCATCTGCTAAGTAAGTTACTTAATCATAGCTTTTTTCTGATTATTGTTAGATGTTTGGTTTAGGTTTATCTATCTTAAATGATTGTTAATGGTTCACCGACTTAATAAGGTAAACATTAATGCAGGTTTTACGCTGCTGAGACACTTTTAGCACTGGAATACCTGCACATGATGGGCATTGTTTACAGAGACTTGAAGCCAGAGAATGTTTTGGTTAGAGAAGATGGGCATATTATGCTTTCAGATTTTGATCTTTCCTTCAAATGTGACGTTGTTCCAAAGCTGCTAAGGCCTAAAACCAACTTAGAAGACACTGAAAAGTACGACAAGTATTGCTTGACTCCTTCATGTGCTACACCCATGCAACCAGTGCTCTCTTGTTTCTCATCTTCCAACAAGAAAAAGAAAACTGCTACAGTCACCACAATCAGAGAACAAGCTGATTGCCAAGAAGCTGATCCGGAATTGGTGGCTGAACCAATCAATGCTAAATCCAGGTCCTTTGTTGGAACCCACGAGTACTTAGCCCCAGAAGTAATCTCAGGGCAAGGCCATGGAAGTGCTGTGGATTGGTGGACTTTAGGGGTGTTTCTGTATGAAATGTTGTATGGAAGAACGCCCTTCAAAGGTGAAAACAATGAGCAAACCTTGATTAACATCCTTAAACAGCCCTTAACCTTCCCAAGAATCAGTGTTAATAGCGGTAAAGAGTTTGAAGAGATGGTGAAAGTTCAAGATCTTATCAGCAAGCTCCTAGTGAAGAATCCCAAGAAGAGAATTGGAAGTTTGAAGGGCTCTGTCGAAATTAAGAGGCATGAATTCTTGAAGGGAGTGAATTGGGCTTTGATTAGATCAGTCAGGCCACCGGAAGTCCCTAGTGATCTTTACAAGATTAGGAGTAGTAGAGCTCACTTAGCAAAGCTAAGCAAAGAGGAAAGAGACGCCCCATATCAAATCCCTCATCATTTTGACTACTTCTAACTGTACAATGTAAATAATAGTAGGCAAAACAAAAGAATTATGTACGACGTCAAAGAAAGAGTTGTTTTCCTTTTGTTTTTCCTTCTAATGGGAGAGATTGTAGACAATTATTGTAAGCCTAATTTTCTACGCTTTCAATTAACATATTAGTTTACTTTTATGTATTCTTTTTTTTTAATATCTCAATTAATGTTTGGGCTTACGTGTAAAAGGAAGGGATCCCATAATTGTCCCAATGTTATTCCCATGAGTAAGTCTATGAACTTCATGTGGAGACAATAATGACTCTTGTCAATGATGGTAAATATAATAAAAATTATCAAAACGAAGCTCTCCTTTGCAAACTTTTCGTATCAATTCCTCCGCTTTTTTCACATATGAGCACTTTCATAGTCACGCATTCACATGTCCTTTCACCGATCAAAGAGGGGAAAAAAGAACAAATAATCAATCATGTTTTCCTGCTCCCCTCTCTTTTCTCTCCCAAAACAAAAGCAAGAATAAAGTTAAACTAAATATCCCTTAGAGGAATGAATCTCATCTTCCATTCGTTTATCCACTTAAACTTATTGATTAGTAGGTTATGGCAGAGTGAGTTCCGGAAGTATAAACAAAAGGATTATAAAATTTCTTGAGGGGTATGAAACAGAGATGATAACATATGGAAAAAGAAAGAATAGATTATACCATGTGTGGACCACTTAAATGAAAGAATAGATTATACCATGTGTGGACCACTTACATGATTAGTAGAATGTGGTTGAATAATAACATCATAATCAAGAAATATAAAGAATTAGACCATAACTCATTTATGTTCTAATCAAACTTTAGCTATTCAGAAGAGTGATTTTTTGACGATATTTATATAAAATTAGACGCAATTCAAACTTCATCGATTTTTCTTTTTTTTTTATCTTATACAATTGATTAATATTTAAAGTTCATTAGATTCTACATTCCATTTGTACATTTCGTTTATCAGCCAATCTTAGAATGAATTCAAGTCTTCCAGAGCCTTGTTCGGAGTATTGTTAGATGCTAGAAAGATGGGAAGTTGGGAACTTATTTCCTGGACCATCTGAATGGGGGATGATTTGATTAACGATAGGTCAAATTTTAGTGAACTGGAATTTGATGATATGGGTCAGAACTTTTGGAGAGGATGTTCAGTCAACAGCTTAATTAGTATAAAGGAAAAGGTAGAATAGGTACAAGGGGGAAGGGTGGTCAGCTTTCAGCTTTCAACTTTCAACAGATATGTAGCCAAATTGCCTGACCCATTTGATGGAATTTTGGGACTGGGGGACCGGTCAGGCGTCAGCGTGCAGAAGCACGCGAGCTTCTTCTTCCACCCCACTTCGGGTGTGTCGATGCATGGAGAAAGTGAAAGCGTTATCTCTAGTCTGTTATTCCAAAAATCCTCACAGATTCATGGCCAGGTTTCGCCAAAATGGAAAATGACAGATATTGATACAGAGAGGGTGTGCTCATCAGCCAACAGGTCGGCAAAAACTATGGGGATCTTCAAGTAAACGAATCTTCCTAAACAGAGTATCTCCTTCCTTTACAATTGCTTTCCTCAGATCTAACTTAGCTTTACAAAATAAAACTCTTGCTTGCCCTTTTTCCTCAAGGTAACATGCAAGACAGGATTGCCAAAAAGTTCCATTAAACTTGGTTGCTAAGAATAATACTTAGTAATCAAATTCTTGAATTAAAAATTCGATCAACTCAACTTAAGAAAAATGGAACAGTTCTACTTTAAAGCTTAGATTTTTATTTTTTAATCTGAAGATCTCAAATTCTATATTTAACTCATTTCATACCATTTTTTTAATTTCTTGGCCATAACCATGCCAACTTCATTTGCTAGCCATCGCTTTGTCATGTTAGTTAAGTTGCACCATAGTAATTAGAAAGGCATCAATAAATAAGGACTGATTCTGCACACACACTCAGAAGTCCACAAGCCACAATGAAAATTTGGGTCTGGCTCAATCAAATGTATTAGGCTTGATGGATGGGGCTTTGCTGAAATCTTTAGGACAAGTCCTGGACAGAGAACTTTACCCAAACCCAACTCAACTCCACTTGCTTTGATTGCTACATAAATTAGTATTTATGTCTTGTTTATTTGGTAATGGAATGATCCCGGCTAACCAAGAAATCCCACAAATGGTTTTGGGATTGGAATTTTATTTGGAGGTCAAAATCGAAGAAAATCTATACCCAACTACTGTTGAATAAAGTTATAAGCAACAACTACGTTGCATTTAAATATTCCGAAGTTTGAAAAATATGAGCATAAAGTGAGACTTTATTGATTATCAGTCGTTTTTACCTCCTAATGATTATGACCGAACAAGAGGCTTCAAATTGTGTTAACCAAATTCTCCATATTCAATTAACTTTTATATATCTTTGAATAATTTCTTTTTATATAATGAAATTTGAGATTCGGTCTTTGTTATTTATTTATTTATTTAATTATGAGCTTTTTAAATAAAAATTTAAATATTTTGCAGACATAAACTCAACTCATGATTATGACTATAAAAGCTCAATTTTACTTTATGTGTCTAATTATTTAGTTTTACGATAATTTCATCAAGAGGGTGCTTGAAAATTTGGAACTCAATCCAATTTCAAAACAACAAAATTGATTTTTTTTTCTTTTTCAAGCAAATGCACCTACATGAAATAGAAAGTAAACATGAGTTTCAAATTCTAAACAATTCTCATTGTCAGAGGCAAATGAATCCAATAGAGTCAAATCCACCAGGCACTGGCCACCCACTCAAACAGAAACCATGAACTACAAGAAGAAAACCATGTTAGTGTTACATGATAGGTCTGCCTGTAGCAGCCTACGACGGAGCAGCAATCCCATGAATTCCAGCCCTTCTTCCGGGACACGTGGTCCTATCTCATGGGCAATGCAGGTGCATAAAAGCCCACCCTCCAAAATCACCTAAAAAAAAGGTTACCCATGGTTTTGTGAAAGCTTTGCCTTTAAACCAGTGGCTTTCTGCAATCTCCATTTAAGAGAAAAAAAGACTTTCAAAAAGTTGAACTAGAAAGCAATTATTATGGAGTTCTGTGTATAAGCGATGAACAAAAGTGAATAATGTGAGCAAATCTCGATGCCCATTGTTTTCTTTCTTTATCATAATTTCAGATCAACCTCTAGCTGTTAATTACCAAGGTGCCCTTTGCAATAATAGCTTCAAAATTAAAATAAAATGTAAATAGTATTATCCACAAGAAATGGAGTAAAGGGTTGTAAATATATAATTCAATGATCGTACTTGTTCCTTCTTTCTAGCCAGCTGCTAATATATAAAACATAGTTTTTCAGTTCTCTTTCGTCGCATCTGTCCTTGAAAAACAAAGGCAAGGACATTTGGGGAACAGAGCTACAGAACCGAAACCATATCGGCAGACACCTTAGTGAAAACAAGTGTCGCTGACACTAGAATTCAAGCGAAAACCATCAAACTCTACACCCCCAACACCCGAGGCAGCCACCGCTCCATTATTAAAACATGCTCTATAAATACCCATGCAATTCTCGCAATCTCTTCAGGCATATCTTCAAAAATATCCTCAGTAATAGTTTGTTATCTACCTTTTCTTGAACTTGTTTCATTATTGCCCTATTATTTTTTTTGGTTGAAATCCTTTTCCTTTGCAATGGCTAAAAATGTTGCTCAATCTGCTACCTTGGCTTCAGTGGACCAAAAGCTGGCCATGGCAAAGCGCTGCTCTCATGGTAAGTTTCCTTCTCTTTTTAGCTTTCTTCTTTATCTTTTTTTTCCCTTTCAGGCATAGCTTCAGTTGCGGCCTGGACTGTTATATTTGTTCTCTTTTTTCATCAACTTGCACTTCTTTGGTAACTTCATTATGTTTAAACATCATGAGATAACATGCTTGAGTTCCTTAAAAAGTATAGGAGTGAGTGAGGATCTTAATAATTTGATTGAGATTTGCCATATGATGATAACATCCATACAAACCAAAAAGTATAACATACTATTTCTTGCTTAACTCTGCAATGGAAAAAGAAAGAGCACCTCTTTGATGATGGGGGACCATGATCCTCAGACCCGAGGCTTTCTTTCAAATTATGAATTGAGAGTACTTTTGTTTCACATCATAGTCAAGAATTATGGGTTAATGATAATGATAGCTTTACATTTGGTTTGATTAATCTAATCAAGTAATTAATGCTAAAGCATTTAGATTTTCTTTGATTTTTCGTTAACCATTTTACTGTCCGGTTTAGTTAATTATTTAAATGAAAAATACCTTAACTAATGATCTGTTTCGTCTTTTGCACCAATAGAGGGAGTAGTTGCTGGAGCTAAGGCAGCCGTTGTTGCTAGCATTGCCACTGCCATTCCAACTGTAAGCATATGAAAGAAAGCTTCATTATTGTAAACATAAATACTCCTTTTCTTAGGGGCAATTAAATCTAACATTTCAATCCCTTGGGCTTGACATGCTTATGCAGCTGGCTAGTGTAAGGATGCTGCCCTGGGCAAGAGCCAATCTTAATCACACCGCACAAGCTCTCATAATCTCCACAGGTTCTCATCATCGTCATCCTCTTTCCAGTATATCAAGATCTTCTTTTAGTAGTAATTTCCTTTTGTTTAATAAAGTTTCGATTCCATTGCAGTGGCTGGAGCTGCCTATTTTATAGTTGCAGACAAGACTGTCTTGGCTACAGCTCGGAAGAACTCCTTCAAGCATATCCCTAACATGGAGGCATGAATTTGAGTTGATCTAGATTTATACTCGGCTTGTACTCCACAATTATTAGTATTCACTTGGCTAAGAAAAGGGGTAGAAGGAAAATTTTGGGGGATTGGTATTGTAAGAAGCCATTTGCTCCTAGTTGGTATGTAATCCGTCGTCTATATATAAATAAAGAAGGGTTTTCATTTACAAGGATCAGAGCTTTCCCGCACTAAAAAAAAATAGACTTCCATCTATCCAGTACATCTGGACTGCAAGTATTTACAAGTGACAGTGACAAAATTTATACACTTGGATTTTGATGTGTTCTTTAAATTCTTCCCAAATATAACTAAAAGTTGATGAGGTTTCCCCAATTGTCCTTGCATGAGCAGAAACTATCTTTGAAATGGTGGAAGCGGTTTCTATCAGGCTATAATTTCTCTGTTGAAGATCTTGGATTTTAGCTTAGCAGCTGAATGGCAATTTCCACATAATTGTCGTCCCGCTTTGTATTGATCAGTCCAAAAGCATGTCAATTCTAATTGTCGTCCCGCTTTACTTATAGCTATGATGACGCAATTTATTTTTAAATATTAATAATAAATTATCAAAATATTAATAATTGTCGTCCAGCATGGTTACAAGCAGATAACACACCAACAAATGTGATATCATCAGGTTTGAAACCTCCACCCATCATTCTGTGCCAGCCCATGCATTGCTAGTCCAGATATTATTGCATTCCAAGAAGCCGAACTTTTCTGTTTCATACCATTTTGGTTCCTCCAATTACCTTGTTTGGTTCTTTTTGGGTTTTTAGAATCAAGAAATAGTTAATTTTAAGATTGGTTATTTTTCAAAAATACAAAATAACTAATACGGACTCCCCTCGTATTAACTATTTCAAGCTTCATTGGGAGTTCAAATAGTTATGGATAAAAATAATCATACTTATTATATAAAATTACTAATCTTAACGTATAAAATATTATATTTATATTTTAATGATAAATAATTAATATTTTAATAAAATTTTAATAAAAAGTTAAAACAAAAGAAAAGAAAAGGACAAATGAAAATAGAGAAAAATAAAAAGACATTCAATGAAAAATCATAATAATATTTTAATAATAAATTATTAAATTAAATATATTTTTAATAATTTTAAAAAATAAATTAAAAGAGAAAAAAGAAAAAATAAATTATTAATATTTCATAATTTATTATTAATATTTAAAAATAAATTATTAAATTAAATGTATTTAATATTTTTGAAAAATAAATTGAAAGAGAAAAAAGGAAAAAATAAATTATTATTAATAAATTGTTCTATTAAATATGTTTTTTTTAAATGAAATTGAAAAAAGAAAACAAAGGAAAATAAATTTTTAATACTTTAATAATAGAAAAATGAAAACAGACAAAAAATAAAAAGAAATTAACATAAAATATCATATTAGTATTTTAATAACAAATTATTAATATTTTAGTAATAAATTATTGATACTTTAATCACATATTATGAAAAAAGAAATTAAAAGAGAAAAATGTAAATATGAAAATAGAGAAAAAATAAAAGCTAAAAATCATATTAATATTTTTATAATAAATTATTAATAATTTAGTTATAATATATTAAAATAATATTTAATAATAACATTGTCAAAAAATAATGAGTTTCAAAAACCTAAACAATTTTATTAAATTATAATAAAAGATATTTTTATCATTTTATCACTTATTCTTTTATTATTTCAAAAATATTTTTATCAATCAACTATTGAAGTAACTAGAGAAAGGCCAGCGTAATGTTGCGGGGACCAACTAGCTTAAAGAGAAGGAAAGCTCAAAGATGCAAAGATAGCCGAAAAACAGTGAAGGTTCAAATATTAAAAAACATAAATCTAAAAAGTTCAAAATCAGCCCAAAACTCCCCATCAACCTCAATTCAATCCAAATTAAGTCACCATTTGTCAAATAATTAAGGTATACAAGTACTAACCAATTAACCTATTTAGAGACAATTTTTAATATATGTAGATTTAATAATTAAAATTCTATTTTATGAATCAAACTATCTATTGTACTCAATTCTTATATTATTCTATTATTACATAATAATTATTTTATTATGCAAATCAAAGTCGCTGTAAAAACTTGATGTGTGACTTCTATACTTCCACACTCTAAGTAGATATCGATAAATAGGGATGTAAGGTATTTGTTCTTTTTTAGATGCTCAACTCAAAACCATTTAACTATCAAGCTATCTGAACATTATTAAAATTCATATAAAATTGTAAAATATTATCCAAAATTGAATCTTAATAGTAAAGAATTATCCATTAATTATCTGAATCCATTACATACCCAATTATACTAGGTAAATTTTTTTGTTAAAGACTTGGAGTGTCCCCATCCTCCTATGAGTTCAATCCTCTCTAGTAACAAAATTTTACATATTTAACTAATAAAATTTAATTTTATATTTATTAGTTTACAAAATGGTAAGTTAATTAAGTTGACACAGATTGTGTTAAATTTAAGAATGACAAAAGTTCAAATCTTACAAAATTTAAAAATTTTGTAACATTATATATAATCAGGTTCTAAGTTTAAGGTATGTTAAAAGTGATATCTAAATAAGCTTTTAAGAGCCTTACCTTAATTTGCCCCAGAATCGATATAAGGTTTGCGTTTTATGTACTCAAACTTGATATTATCAAGTTGAGTACTCATGAGTACCCATATAATTGTGAAATTCCACCTTGAGTAATAGGATAAATTAGAAAATTTTAGCTGAGCATATAGATTTCATATTTTGAATATCAAATTTAGTTCTAAGCTTCCAAAGAATTCATTGACACTTTTGGTTATCTATCACTTTTGAAGTAGAAAATTTTTTAAATTTGTAAAGAGTTAAAATATGTGATTTATAGAACAATATTTGGAAAACAAAAAATGACGATAATGATTCTCAAGATTTTTAGATAACTAAAAATGATTTTTTTCATAATTTTTGGTGTACGTTTACTATGGTAAATGAGAGCTGCAAATTTAATTTCAATCAAACATTTTTGATTTTGTTCTTAAAACTAAAATTTTAATTTTGATTTTTTTTATATTTTTATTGAATTCAAATGAAGGGTGTTTGCTTATTTATATTAAATATTTTAAGTAAATGAAAAGCAAAAAAGAAAGAAGTAAAAATGAGGACATTTACTTGTATGGTATTTGATGTAAATAAGCTAGATAGGTTTTATAGGTAATCTTTTTCAAAAACTACATTCTATTTCAAATGTATCGATACAAGTTTATAATATATTGATACATATGGTCATGTATCGATTCATGTGTATAATGCATCAATACGATTTTTTCATAACCAAATGTATCAATACGTGAGCTAAATGTATCAAGATATTTCATCGATTTTGGAAAAATGAAAAGGGTAAAAACGTATTTTCATATCCTAACTTATAAATAAACCACATTTTCTGAGAGTTGGTAACTCTCAACTGTATTTTCAAGGTAAAACCCTAACTCTTAAGTTCTTCCAACTCATTTTTACTCAAAATCATCATTTTTGAAAGATTTAAGTTCGGTTTTAAGTTTTAAGTGAAAAATAAGATTTTTCCCACTCTTGAATTTTTAAATCTTGAATTTCTTATTTTAAAAATATAGTTTATTGTTCTAGAATTATTGTTGTCTGTGAATTAGAGGATTTGGATGAATTTTATCACTTGCTATAGCTCACTTAAGGTAAAAACGTTGATTTTATAGGTTTGTACAAATGGGTATTTTGATAAGCAATAAATTTAGTCTAGAAAATCAGTTTAGGCGAACCCAAATAGTTCATATTAGCATAGGCGATTATTATGCGATTCCTAGACTAAGTATTAACTAAAATTTTTATTTGAGAATTTAGGAACCATTGAAACTTCAAAAATTTCGTTAAGGTAGACTTTCGCGTACTTGGTAAAAATTAACTTTCGAAGTGAATGGATACACCACTTTCAAAACTATTTTAGTATGTAAAGTTGAAAGCATGATTTGAATGATTAGAGGTTTATTGATGAGCATGTTTTCCCGTAAATATTTATTCTGAAAAATGTATTCATGGATGTAAAAATGTTTGGAAATTGATTTTCAAAACTACATGCATGTGTAAATATGCTATTATGTATGAGTTTTCAACAAGAAGAGATAAGCTTTTTTATGATTGTAGTCCACTCGATTACTCCGGCCTTCAATCTAGTGTAAGTATGAGAATTATATACATGTGATTGCGAATGGTTGTGGGTGATTAAAATGTTCTTGAATGTAAGTATTATGTTTGTGGACTGAGAAGGTATCCACTTTTCCTTAATTCATGTGTTTGGCATAATTTGTTATAGATGCTTGATCTTGGTATGATTTTTTATGAAATTCTGATTATGTTGGGATTGACTTTAGTCTCGGTATGAGGGTACGAATACCACAAGATTAAGCTTAGCTAACGTGCCACTTTTCCCCTTTTTGTGTGTTGGCTCTAGTCCCAGTAAAGGGATAATAATACCATAAAATTAAATTGAGTATTGTGCCACTTCTCCCTTCTTTATGAGTCTCGATGTAAGGGTAAGAATACCATAGGGATGAATTGGACAAAAGTACTCATTCTCGCCTTTAATTTGCTCATGTTATGCATTGATGTGATTTTATTAAAAGCATGTTTGGCTTGGTTTTTTTTTAAACTTGAAAGTTATTATAAAGCTCTTATAAAAAATAATAGTTTTTAAAATTAAGCTAAAGTTGTTGGGTAAATTTATTTTTTATAAGCTTTTTTTTATATATAAGCTGTTTGGAAAAATAACTTATATAAACTTTAATTTTAGTTAAAATTACCGTAAAAGGTATTTAATAAATAACTTTTTATTAATCACGAATTTCTTTGTTCAAAATAAAAAAAGTAACTTTATTTTTTATCTATTTAAAATAAATTTTTTAAAAATATAAAAAAATTTATATAACATAAAGTTTATAATTAATAATAAATTATTAAAAAAAGAGTTCCACAAATAATTTATAAGTAACACATAATTCATAAATAATTTTTTATTGAATAAAAATAAATAAATAAAATCAAAAGAAAAAAATTGAATCAAATAAAAAATATGAGAAATGAAAGAAAGTAATAAGTCAACTACTAGAACTCTTAAGCCTAACAATGGAGAAGAACCTAAAAAAGAAGAATAGAAGTGCTAATAACAATTCAAGAAAATCACTATTAATATTCTTACTAACAAAGTTCACCTTCGTCAACAATATTATTGTAACAACCATAATTAACAAATATTATCTCAATTTTTATCTAATTTATCTCACCAACCATTGACCTATTTAAATTATTTCAATCATAATCATCAAATATTATGTACAACATAAAGGAGTTAAGAATAAATAAATATTACATAATTATCATATCAAATAATAAACTGAGAAATATCAATTAATAAAGAGAGTTTTCAAACTCCAAAAATATGATAGAAAGTAAAATAAAAAACAAAATAGAAAAAAAAAGAATAATATCTGAATGCAGTTTTGAAATTTAAATTTTCTTTTTTCTTAATTTTTGTAAGAACAAAAATTATTGTTTGCAACTATGGTTTATTGAAAAAATTTTATCTCTTGGTTTGTCCCCTTCCCCGTATTTGCTCATGACATCTTTATGACTCACATAGTATTTTTCCCTATTTTGTGTTAGATAAAAAATTTGCTTGGCTAGGCCACTTGGAAGTCATAACTCAACTCATTTTTTATAGATGTGGTAGATCCTCCTTTCCAGCCTTCTAGTGTCATTACACTCACAGTCTATCTGGAGTTAAGTCATTTTTTTTACATTGTTAATATTGAATTTGGGATATGTAAATAACATTGATATACTTATTTATGTTTTTACATGTTATGTTGAGCCTCAAATACAGGTGCATGTTGATGATAAGACTATAATGGATGAACCATAGCAATGTAGGTACAGGATACATACCGAACCATAGTTGACATAATATTGTGAATATCATATGAGATAAAATGAAAATAACATTTTACGTTGAGAAGTTCCATAAAGAGTTGACCTTGATGATTTATTATGGATTTATTGTTTGCAAATGGCAATGTATGTGAATGCAATGGATGACTAGCTCATGCATAATCGAATTAGTCTTGATTGGGCCTACTTAGCTATATCCACATAAATCCTTGTGTTGATCATTATCTCTCCAGAAAATAGGATGTGATAAAATATTAAATCTTATATTATCGAGTTAAATACTCATATAATAACAACCCATTTACATCCCTATCAATAAGATTCATCCAAAGATACATAGCAGTAGAATTTTGGAAACTCTTGTCTATATAAGAATGAATCCATTTGCCAAGATCAAGGGCACCAAGGTTAGCACAAGATGGAAGAATGCTCGAGAATATGACATCACTCGGACTCTGCTGTATATTGGATCATAGCATTCGCCGAAAAAGCCCTAAGGTTTCTTTACAGTGGCTCATATGTGTATAACCACCAATCATTACATTCCATGAAATCATATCCCTTTGCTGTACACCACAAGTAGAATAAGTGCATTAACGAGATGAATATTAAAACCAAGTCCATGTTTCCTCTTGTAGATCTTTTTGTTCCTTAAATGAAAACTGTAAATATGTACATGCAATTTGGTCATTTTTAATTGTAATTAGTGCCAATCTTTATCCATTTGGGGATTTCTTCTCTTGTAGTATTCCTTTCGTTGTATTAAGTTTCATCATTAGTTCGGGATTTTTTCGTAAAATTTTATTGTATTTGTACTTTAAAAAATGGATTTTTTAAATATATTCTAAATGTATCTATTTATTAATATATATGTCGTTAAAATTTGAATAAAATATAAAATTTATCATGTGATTATTTATAAAATTTTTATGTGACAAATTTGTTCATATATATTTCATTCAAGTTCTAACGATGCATTGATGAACTGAAGGGTTTAGAATAAATTCAAAAAATCACAAATAAAAAAAATCAAGTTTTGTAGATTACGGATAAAAATGGATCATTATGAAAAAGTTAGGACTAATAATGCAATTTACGCTTCTTATAGTTAAACAGCTTTGGGTTAGAAATGTAAATGGGTTTTTCTACACTAGCAATTTCAGTGTTTCTTCACAAAAAATACCTAACCCACTTTCCCAATTCAAGAGAACCTGACTGAGCACAAGCCGAAAGGACCGAAACCAATGTGCTTTCATCAGGAACAACATTTGCTCGAATCATCCCTTCAAAAAACGCCAACGCCTCTTCATATTAATAAGTTAAAATTGACCCAAAAAAAATAATTAAGTTCAAAATTAATCAAGTATTCTTTTTAGGGAATTTGCGTTTAGACTGCAAATTTCTAAACAATTTGAGATAACGACATATCTGTATATGATTTACTTCTGACGTTTATCTTTTATTTTTCAAGCTTACGTATAAAAGAACAGTAGAGTGTGAAAAACAAATGATAGAAAAACGAGTGTAAGTATTATCACGTGGAGATAAATATATAATTCAATGAGCGTGCTTTGTCCCTTCTTTCTAACCTACAACTAATATATATAACATAATTTTTCAGTTCTTTTTTTCGTTGCATCTGTGATGTGTCGTTGAAAAACAATGGCAATGACATATGGGGAACAGAGCTGCAGAACCAAACGGATATCAGGAGACACCTTAGTGAAAACAAGTGTCTCTGACGCTAGAATTCAAGTGAAAACCATCAAACTCTAAAACCCCCAATACCTGAGGCAGGCAGGCAGGCACCGTCCCTTTCTCCCAACCACTCCATTATCCATGCATGCTTTATAAATACCCATGCGATTCTAACCATCTCTTCAGGCAAATCTTCAAAACCATCCTCACTAATAGTTTATCTTCTATCTTTTCTATAACTTAGTTTCATTATTACCCTCTTTTTTTTGTTTGAAATCTTTTTTCTTTGCAATGGCTAAAAATGTTGCTCAATCTACTACCCTGGCTTCACTTGACCAAAAGCTAGCCTTGGCAAAGCGCTGCTCTCATGGTAAGTTTCCTTCTCTTTTTAGCTTTCTTCCTTTTTTTTCTCCCCTTGCTGGCACAGCTTCAGTTGCGGCCTGGATTGTTATATTTGTTTTCTTTTTTCAGCAACTTGCCCTTCTCTGGTAACTTCATTATGTTAAGCATCATGGGATAACATGCTTGAGTTCCTGAAAAAGTATAGGAGTGAGTGAGGATTTTAATAATTTGATTGAGATTTGCCATATGATGATAACATCCATACAAACAAAAAAGTATAAAGTATTATTTCTTTCTTAACTCTGCAATGGGAAAAAAGAAAGAGCACCTCTTTGATGATGGGGGACCATGATCCTTGGACCCGGGGCTTTCTTTCAAATTATGAATTGGGAGTACTTTAGTTTCACATCATAGTCAAGAATTATGGGTTAATGATAATGATAGCTTTACATTTGGTTTGATTAATGTAATCAAGTAATTAATGCTAAAGCAATTAGATTTTCTTTGATTTTTCATTAACCATTTTACTGTCCGGTTTAGTTATTTAAATGAAAAATACCTTAACTAATGATCTGTTTCGTCTTTTGGACCAATAGAGGGAGTAGTTGCCGGAGCTAAGGCAGCCGTTGTTGCTAGCATTGCCACTGCCATTCCAACTGTAAGTATATGAAAGAAAGCTACATTATCGTAAATATAAATACTCCTTTTCTTAGGGGCAACTAAATCTAGCATTTCAATCCCTTGGGCTTGACATGCTTATGCAGCTGGCTAGCGTAAGGATGCTGCCCTGGGCAAGAGCCAATCTTAATCACACTGCACAAGCTCTCATAATCTCCACAGGTTTTCATCATCATCCTTTTACCAGTATCTCAATATCTTTTAGTAGTAATTTCCTTTTGTTTAATAACATTTTGATTCCATTGCAGTGGCTGGAGCTGCCTATTTTATAGTTGCAGACAAGACTGTTTTGGCTACAGCTCGGAAGAACTCTTTCAAGCATGTCCCTAACATGGAGGCATGAATTTGAGTTGATCTAGATTTAAACTCGGCTTGTACTCCACAATTATTACTATTCACTTAGCTAAGGAAAGGGATAGAAAGAAAATTTTGGAGGGTTTGGTATTGTAACAAGCCATTTGTTCCTAGTTGGTATGTAATCCTTCGTCTATATATATAAATAAAGGATGGTTTTCATTTACAAGGATCAGAGCTTTCCTGCACTAAAAAAAGATCGACTTCCATCTATCTAGTTAACCTGGAGTGCAATGTATTTACAAGTGATAGTCACAAGATTTATACACTTGGATTTTGATGTGCCTTTTAAATTCTTCCCAAATATAACTACAAGTTGATAAGGTTTCACCAATAGTCCTTGCATGAGCAGAAACCATCTTTGAAATGGTGGAAGCGGTTTCTGTCTCTGGCAATAATTTCTCTGTTGAAGATCTTGGATATTAGCTTCGTAGCTGAATGGCAATTTCCACATACCCGAAGATTCTTTACAATTCTAATTGTTGTCCCTGGCTTTGTACTGATCAATCCAAAAGCAATTGCTAACTTCTCGCTATGATGACTCAATGCTCCTTCCTTCCATTCCTCATCCATGTCACGGATTACCTCTGATGTATCAGGCACAAATCCAGCCTTATCCAGAAGCGTGTCGACTTCATTCAACATGTCATAAATTTCTTTGCATCGGGGATGCACTTTGTCACTGACGAGAAACTCATGAACAACACTATCCACCTCGATAGAGCTGCAACCAGGAACTTTCCTCATTCCCTTGTTATTTAGCAAGGTTCTTATTCGAGCTACATCATCCCATCTACCAGCTCCAGCATAGATATTTGACAAGAGCACATAAGGCCCAGGATTTTCAGGCTCCAGCTCAAAAAGACGCTGGGCCACTGATTCACCTAACTCAACGCGCTTGTGAACTCTACAAGCTCCAAGCAAAGAACCCCAGATTGCACCATCTGGCTTCATTTCCATATTCTGAATCAAAGCCTCTGCTTCATCAAACAGCCCAGCTCGTCCTAGGAGATTTACCATGCATCCATAATGTTGCAGGTCAGGTGAAATTGCATAATCTTGGACCATTGAACTAAAATACTGCCGTCCAAGACCAAGCAAACCAGCATGGGTACAAGCAGATAACACACCGACAAATGTGATATCATCAGGTTTTAAACCTCCACCCGTCATTTGAGAGAAAAGCTCAAGGGCCTTATCTGCCACCCCATGCATTGCTAGTCCAGATATCATTGCATTCCAAGAAGCCAAATTTTTATGCTCCATACCATTAAAGACTTGTTGTGCTGCTTCTATACTTCCACACTTAGCGTACATATCAATAAGACTAGTCCAAAGAGAGACATTGGTTGAATTTTGAAAATTCTTGTCTATGTAAGCATGAATCCATTTGCCAAGATCAAGGGCACCAAGGGTAGCACAAGCTGGAAGAACGCTTAAGAACGTGACATCACTTGGCTCTATATTTGATCTTAGCATTCGCCGAAAAAGTCCTAAGGCTTCTTTATAGTAGCTCCTATGTGTATAACCACCAATCATTACATTCCATGAAATTACATCCCTTTGCTGTAAACCCTCAAACAAATCAAAAGCTGTGTCCAAATAACCACACTTAGAATACATATCAATAAGTGCATTAGCAAGATGAAGATTAGAACCAAGTCCATGTTCATTAATCCAAGACCTAACCCACTTCCCCAATTCAAGAGAACCTGACTGAGCGCAAGCCGAAAGAACCGAAACCAATGTGCTTTCATTAGGCACGACATTTGCTCTAATCATCTCTTCAAAAAAGGCCAATGCCTCTTCACGTTGACCTGTTTGAGCATAGCCTGCAATCATCGCGTTCCACGACACCACATCCCTCATGGGAATTTCATCAAAAAGCTTTCGGGCATTTTCCATATAACCAATCAAAACATAACCCGTTATCAGTGCAGTATAAGAGACCGCATCTCTTAGATGACTTTTGTCAAACACCAACCGCGCATTAGCCAATTCACCATTTTGCGCATACATATTAATAAGGGAAGTATGAACAAAGGCATCAGAGTCAAGCCCAAGCTTCAAAACTTGTCCATGAATCTGTCTCCCTTCCTGGGTACTTGCTGTTTTCGCACAAGATTTTAAAACGAAAGGAAAAGTATAAGAATTCGGGACAATACCGGACCAGATCATTTTAACATAGAATTCTAAGGCGAGTCCCGGGGATGAACTCAATGAAAATCCTCTAATCATTGTGTTCCAAATAACTTGATTGGGTTCATCAATGGATTCAAAGAGTAAAAGAGCATAAGGCAAGTCACCAAAAGGCGAAAGGGCGCAGAATTCGATGAGCTTGCTGAGAGCAAACTGGGTGTGGTGGAGGCCGGTTTTGATTATATGGGAGTGGACTTGTTTGAGGGTTTGGACGGTCCTGCATTTCGAGAGGAGGGAAAGGGATGGATGGTTTTGGAGGAGCTTGTAAGGAGGGTCTGACGAAGGGAGGAGATGGAGTGGGAAAGGAGACATGGGGACTGAAGTTGATGGCAGTGCCATTTCACGTTTGGAGGTTTTGAGAGGGATAAGGGAGGACATGATTTTTTTTGAAATTCCGTTGGTCGTTAGTGGGGAGTTTTTTTTTCATAACCCACCCAAAATGGAAAACAACAATAAAAATGACTTATCGCCGTTGCCGGGGATCGAACCCGGGTCACCCGCGTGACAGGCGGGAATACTTACCACTATACTACAACGACTCCATGTCTCCTGAGATCTTGAAACATATTTCTCGAAGTTGTGACTCCTCGACTATCTGAGAGCCAGGAAGAATATATAAGTCGGACAATTCAAACAGAACAACAAAGCACATAATTATAAACTTGTACTGCGCATCTTTATTCTTTATTCTTTTCTTGGTTCTTATCATCATCATCCTCATCCATGTCCTTATTATCCGATACATTGCCTCGTGGAAGTTTGCTAAGCTCATTTTTCCCATCTTCTCCACGAAGAAATTCCAATCCATATTCAATGTCTCTAGCTACTCTCTAGTTTAACCAGAAGCAGACATTGTGACCTTTCTTCCTTATTCAAGTAATACAACTCTTTCTTGATATTGGGTGTGGGCCGTGTGGCCACCATGGTCAGTTGCATCGGTTGCCCTGTAGCCATTTAGAGTAGATACAACCCATTAGTATTGTCAGGAGACAAGATTTCCACCAGATAGAATACTTTTAATTCTTAACAGAAGAAGATCTTGCCACGATTGGAGATGTTTCAGGCTTCTTCTGTTAGAATTGTATAGTTAGCAATATAATCTGTGAATGTTCTTCGGCTGGTATGATTGTTGTAAATCTTGCTGATAGAATAGTTTTCACAAATAGGATTTTGATATTTCTAATTAAACATCATTTTAATCGAAAGGAAGAGGCAGATGTGTTATGAAATAATAAGAAAGAGTAGGGAAAAAAAACTTGAGACAACCTGCTAGAAAAGAACAAACTGCACTAAGCAGCAAAACTGTTTGTGACAACAAACTAAAAAAGAAGAAGCTGAAAATCAACTATACAATTACATATTTCTCTGGCTCCTATTAATTTCGTCCACTATCCCGTAATCTGCTCAACACCCTTAAGCCTGCATCTAATAACTTCCTTGATACGATTAAGAGAGGACCATAAGCTTTAGCAGATAACTTCCTGGTAGTTAATGGGACTCCTAAGGACTTGACTGGAAAAGATCCTATTTTGAAGACAGTGATAGATTGAATTTCTATAAGCACCTTAGTTTTGATGCCAGAACAGAAAGTCCCAGATTTTGAGCTACTTAGTTGAAGGCCAGATATAACGTATAGAAATAATTTAGAATATTCTCTATTGCTGCAACTGAATTGAGAGTACCTTTGCAGAAAACCGTGAGATCAACTTCAAAGAAAACGCGATCAATGAGTTGGACTTGCTTGCATCTAGGATGGAACTGAATTTGACCTTTCCTAGCTGTCGTTCAAGTATTCTTGACAAAACCTCTGTAGCTATTACAAACAGATAAAATGACAAGGGATCACCTTGCCTAACACCCCTTACTCCAGAGAAGTAACTAAACAACACAACATTTGATCCAAGAGAAAAATTTTGCGGGAACCTCCATGGCTTCCATAACTTATAATAGGAAGTCCCAATTGAACCTATTTCTTGACAAAGAGTAGATTTGAATTAGGAGACGATATAAGGAATCCGGTGATGCTGAAATTTGAAATCAAGATCCTTAGACATCTTAATTATGTTTATCTTAACTCCAACCTGCAAAGTTAAATGATTAAGTAATGAAGGTAATCCAAGGTGATTTTAAAATGATTTTTTGACTATTTATGCGATCAGATATGAATAATGTCTGTAATAAGAAACTTAAAAGTCATGATTAATTGAGAGCATGTAAATGATATGTAGTTGGAACAAAGTTGAGATTATCAGCCTTGGGTACAAGGTATGCAGGGGCAAATGCGCTCTAATTCTGGAACGATGGATATGCACGCGATGAATTATAGACATTAACAGAAAACATTGCTTGGAACGGGTTCAAATCCATGTCACATTTGGTTCGATTGGTATTCTGAAAGTGTTGAAACTGAACAATGGTGTACTTAATTAAGATCCCTCTAGTTCAAACCCAGTTGATGAAGATAATTTAATGGTGTTGGTTACTATTTATTGCCTTGATCCAATCCCTTTAGAAATTCCAACTTTAAGCCAGTTCTTAGTGTAAAACCACATGGATTGACAATCACTAGTAATTGGGTTCAATAAAATAAATGCCGCCCAGGAGAGATGCCGGGTACAAGTCATTTTCTCACTTTGAAAGTTGGGATAATAGCGAGGGAATAGGAGGACAGGACACTTAAGGGATGAAACTTTTGCAAGAATAATATCTATCATCTCTTTGGAATGGTCACCAAGCAATGATCTGCCAAATCGATTTGTAAAGTTTGAAGCGACTTTAGTTATTTTTGGCCCAGTCCAACCAGATTTGTTGGGTGAGCCGAGTAGCTTCCATGATTTAACAGCTAAAATGTTTCAGACTTTGCGCCAAATGTGATCTGTCCAATGCATCTGGAACAAGCAAGACTGCTGTTAACATCATAATTAAGGTTTTACTTTTGTTTAAGTGCTAGCTAGGCGAAAATTTCAAAATCACTTGGCAAGGAAGGGGGAGAATATCCAAAATTCAAAAGCAACGGCTATTCTCCCTGGGTAATCCCTTAATGGATGTGGATTCTCTAAAGATTATTGAAGGGAGATGGCCCTCTTCTGAAAACAAGTCTCAAGCAGAGAATAAAGCTGGAGTGGCTGCAGTTCTAAGGTTTTTTTTTTCTAGGAGGAATATTCATCATGTCTGGTAAAAAATGGTGATTAGGATTCCTCCTTATCGCACCTAACTCAAGACGCAAGCATTTATGCCTATTTGGAGTTTGAATATATTAGCCATGTAAGCATTAGAGACCCCACATACCATAGTCAGAGGGTTTTACTCTGCAAACGGCTCATGAATTCTTTAGTTGAGTATATTCTGTAAGCGGTCTGTAACTTGCACATACATGTTTTTCTTCCTCCCAGCCTTTATTTTTCACATGGGAATTAGGTGGTTGATTTGGAACATGTTCATGAATGAGGCCATGGCTGGAGGAATGAAGTGATTAGAAATATATAGTATTTGTTATTTAAAAAATGAAAAGCAAAGATCCCATCTAAAGCCCAGAATGGCTAGGAACTAGGGTGGTGAATTCTTGTTAAATCAACTCAAATGCCATGGCCAATGCCTACTTGGCACGCCTTCTTTGGCGTGCAGCGTGCAATAGGCATGCCTTAGCAGGAATCTGCAAATGGCCATATTTGAATCCTTTATGCTGGTCAAGAAAATGCAGCTCATCCCATCGTATTAAAAACTACTACTAGTTTTTGTTTTTCAGGTGCAATGGAGCCCAACTGTAACGTGCCACTTTTATGATTTGATAACTAGCTAGCCCACCAGCGTCGGTCCGCCGCAAACCATATTCGAGTTAAACATTCAGCCGAACATTCCCATTCCCTATTTTTTATATAAATTTTAACCATGCCGGCTTGTTTTCCTCACGCGTCAGGCTAGAACAAGATATATGGGACTTTGATTGAAAACATCGGGAGAAAGGAAGCCAAGGTCAAGTCACCATGCGGAATATACATAGAGAGAGTGATTGGGAAGAGCATTGAGAGCAAAGGGCGCCAATTGATATGAATCTTCAAAATGGCTTTTGAATTATTGCAAGAAAGGGAATCGAAACATGCAAAGAAGGAATTTTGCAATGGATGTGCATTATAAAGAATAAATTCCAAATGCAAACAGAGAAGAAAAAAAATTTCGTCCCATGTTTCTTAACCTTTTTTACTGTCCCACCTGCACCGGCACTGTATAAGCCTACTCAAGGAAGGTATATCTGGCTACTTGGATGACGTGTCCATCCACGTCAGCTTTGGATTCGGAAGTAGCAATCCTTGTCAGCGTGATGTGTCTATACACGTAGAGACATGCGTCAGCTTTGCACGTGGGCGGAGCAATCCTGGTGACTTGCGAGTAAACTATGTATTAATAAGTTCCAATATTATAGTTCTTGTGAATTTAATTTAATGTATGTTGTCATGTAATAATCAGAGGGCTAAAATAAATATCAGATATGAATGGGATTTTGAAGTAGTTCCTTCTAGTTTAACAAGAGAAAATCATTGCTGCAACAGAACATATATATGGACAGAGTTGAAGATGGAGATCCTTTCAAATTAAGAGTTAAAGGGTTAAATTATATTCGATAATGCTTGAAAAAGTTATGGTGTATTGATTTAGAGAAAAAGAAAAATAGAAGACTGCAGCAGCCTCCATCCAAATAACACTTCCCCTCATAACACCTCGATGGTGGTAGCAATATGGATGAGAAGAGAATAATATTTCACATTGTTTTTCGGCAATAATGATAGGGAATCACAAAAAGAGGGGGCATGTTTGGAATTCTATTCTGAAAATACATGAATACTGAACACATGCACTGCGCGCTAAGCTATCTTCCCAAGAATAGTGAAAGTAGCAGAACTAAACATGAGGACCTAGGTTTTATCTAAACTTCTCAGAAGAAATGTCTGCTTTTGGAATCCCATGAAGACATAAAGGAAAAATTTGACAGACCAACATCCATGACCCCACAAATCAAGCCTTTAACAAGTATATAAAGCCCTCCCATCCCAAACACCAAAATCACCAATTGCACTAAGAACTTATTAATCAGCTACAACTAACAGTTACTACTACTTTTCTTCCAGGCCCTTGATTTTCCAGGAGGTATGCTTCTATGATCTTGCTTGTTTCCTGAGCTTCAAATGTTTTGTCTTGGTTTGAACTCAAGCCATCAACAAAAGTCTTTGTCTCTAGCCACAGTTGCATTAGTTTCTGCTTGTAAAAGAACATTAGAATTCAAGAATTACCATAAGTGAATAGAAAATCTTTCATCAAGTGAAAGGAGCTTGCTTTGAGCTTTAGGCTAGCATGATTATAGAATTCTTTTTTTTTCCATTTTTGTTTCTTATATAGGACTAGTAGCGACGAGGGAAGAATAATGAAATCTGGTCTGATTTCCTTTTCTCATTTTCTTCTTTGTGAAATGGTTATCAGGACCAAAATGAGCTGGACAGGAGGAGATTGGATGTGTGCAGCATGCCAACACCAGAATTTTAAAAAGAGGGAAGCATGTCAACGCTGCGGGTATCCCAAGTATGGTGGCCCTGATGTATCAGCCTACTTATACAATAGAACAGAAGTTTTGGCCGGGGACTGGTATTGTGCTGCCATGAACTGTGGAGCTCACAACTATGCTAGCAGAGCAAACTGCTATCGATGCGGTACCGTTAAAAATGATTATGGTGGCTATAGTATGATGGGCTCTGAAGGGAGTGCTCCTCCTGGATGGAAGACTGGTGACTGGATTTGCACCGGGTGAGTTTGCATTGACATTTTGCTTTGAGGAAAGGATGCCTTGAGTAATTTTGTGTGACAATAAGAAAAAGGACCGTAATCCGTAATAAAATTTCAGAAAATGTTCTTCCTGAGCATAAAATTCCACAAATAAGCTGCATTATCTCTGTTTATGGCATTCTTGATATTGCATTGTTTTCCCCCTTCCAAACAATGATAATGTGGAGTTTCTTTTATGATAGTGTTCATCTTCCAAAAACAAAATTTTCAAGAAATTACTCAGCATATTTTTAGAATTCTACAGCAATGCAATCCTTTTGATAACCATTTTGTCACATATATTACTTGAATAATAATGATAATGTGGATACTGTTATTTTGTTCCTTATCCTCGCCCTTTACCTGATGTGACTGACTTACCAGTTAAATATGATTGTAAAATTGTTTGGACAGGTATGGATGTGGAGTTCACAACTATGCTAGCAGGATGGAATGCTTCAAATGCAAGACACCTAGGGATTTTGGTAAGAAATCTTGGTAGTCATTGCAGCATCGATCTTCGCATAGGCAAAAAAAGACATAATCCATTGAAAAGCCATTCAGTGCAAGTTCCTGACAATTTTTTCTTTTTCTTTTACTTTTCAGGTGGTGCTTAGGAACGAGGAACAATAATGTCCGTAATGTCACTCATCTCTCTTCACATCTGATCCTTCCACCATTTTTGTTTAATTTGAAGTCAAACAACATTTAGGTTGACCAAGGTTGTTGGCCTTTTTCCAAGTGTAGCCATGTAGCTGCACTGATCAGCAGAAGGATTTCTGGCTTTATTGTGTGGGGCATGTGGTGTTCCTACATGAAGCTTTGAAATCTTTTCCCTTCTTTTCTAATAAAAAATTTAATGGAAATACTATGTTTTAAGTGCATATATATGAAAATCCTTCTTTCCCTCTGGGTATGTGTGAGTGTGGGGAACATCCATAATTCAATACTACTTTTGGGGGTGGTCCAAGGAATTTACTGGCAAGTGTTGCTTATATCAACAGAGAAATTCAAGTCTTAATCCAAGGACCACCATCCTTAGCTTTGGATTCAACCAATGCAATAAGACTAACTCAAATTGAGATAGCTGAAAACTCAGAAATGAGATTCAAGGAATCTCTATGAGCAGTTAACTTCAAAAGGCAGGCTTTCTCTCAGAGCAATAATTTATGATCCTTTTAAGCATCAAATCTGTAGAACTATATATAAATATGAAGATAAGAACCAGATGCTCTTACTTTAAAAGCATCGATGCAATGCTAAGTTCAAAGCAAGTCAATCCTTCTTTTCCCACTCATTTTAGTGGCTCAGCTCTGAAGTCAGAGCACTTGATTTCACTTACTATCACTTCGTTTGAAGCAAGATGAGTTCCATAATCATAGACCTACACCATTGCTAAATATGGAAAATTTCCGAAGCATGAAGGTTAACATTCGAAGTTCACAAAGCATGACTATTGCAAATTTCCAAACTCTTCTGCTTAATGACCAAGTTGACTTCTTGATCTTCTCCTGACCTCAAAACCATGCTTTGTGCCTAAAAACGTTACTTAAGCCAAACCCTGTTAGAAATGTAGAAGAAGAAGAATATTTAGAGAAGAAGAAAGAGTATGACTTTGAAGGTGTGAATTTTCACTTTCCTTAAAGGTATTTTTTCAACCTCCAAGATACAACAAAGTCTGTAACACACTTATTAAAATTGTGAAATTGGCAGTACAAGAACGTTGTTTATATAATAAGCCAACGTATATGTCTTTCAATGAAAAGACTTATATCCTTTCATAATATGACTCTTCAAATAGGATGAAAGGATTTGTTTCTTTTCATAATATAACTCTTTAAATAGTTGTTTCCTTTCATAATACAATTATTTAATAATTATATCTAATAACATTTGAAAAGTTATATTTTAATAAGGTAATTACTTATAATTCTTTAGTCACAACTTTTTTCAACATTAACAAACTATCTAACAATCCCCCACTAGTTTGAAATGTTGGTTTTATATATACTCATGTTTGCCTTTTACACAAATGAATATTATGCATACAAGAAGGAATCTCTCGATTTGGACCATCGAATGCATCTCAGAACCCTAACGAAGTAGATGGTGTCTGCAGATTGAACCTCGACTCCTAGTGTTAGAATTGAAGATACACCACACATAATATTCATTTATTTTTCTGTAAATGGTCGTTCACTTTTAGCACCATAATGGACATGTACTTATCCTATTCATAATAAACATTTACAAGAGAATCCCTTAAATTCTTCTTATTGAAGTGGCACCGCTCCTTATGTTTATATAGATGGAGTTTTTATTAATATCCCCATTGCTCAAGACATTTTTCATTCCATAATATAATATTCAAACTCCATTAAGAGTATAAACTCAACCTCTATACGTAATGGATTGCATTATTTTCAAACAAAATTTTGAGGAATGGATTCTAATAGTGCATCACAGACACATAATAATTTGTTTTTATCTATTGAAATTTGTAATTAGAGGTTATTAATTAAAAGTTGGATTCCGCTATTGGTGTCTAATAGGGGTTTTAAACCCATTTTTTTGTAGTACTACTTACCAAATCCTTGGTAAACCTTTTGTCAAAGGATCTGCCAAATTACTTGTAAATTTAACATATATTATGGTAATTACCCCATTAGAGATTAATTTTCTAATATAATCATACCTTAAACTAATATGTTTAGATTTTCCATTATAAACATTACTATATGTTTTAGACATTGTAGCAGCACTATCACAATATAAGGAAATGACTAGCATTGGTTGTGACCACAACTCTATATCTAATAAGAAATTTCTCAACTATTCCACTTCCTTTCCTGCTGCAGCTAAAGCTATAAACTCAGACTCTATTGTTGAATGTGTGATGCAAGTTAGTTTCTTAGATGCCCAACTAATTGCACCACCTTCTAATGTAAAAATCCAACCTGAAGTGGACTTATTGTCATTTATACTTGTAATCCAACTTGCATCAAAGTATCCTTCTAATACTTTTGGATAATGTGAATAATGTAAATCAAAATTTTAGTTCTTTTAAGTTATCCAAGAACTCTCTCAATGGCCTTCTAGTGAATTTTATTAGGCCTACTTGTATATCTTGATAACCTGCAAACCGCAAATGCAATATCTAGCCTAGTGCAATGCATAGCATACATAATACTTCCAATAACACTAGCATATTCAAGTTGTACAATTAATTGGTCACCATTCTCATGCATTTTCATACTTGAGTCATCTAGGGTACTAAAATTCTTTTATATTTAGAGATGTTTAAATTTATTGATTAATTTCTCAATATAGTGACTTTGATTAATAACATAACCATTATTATGTTTCTTAACTTTAATATCCAAAATGGTATCAACCTCATTTAAATCTTTTATTTTAAATACAGAGGTTAAGTATTTCTTTGTTTCATTTATGCCGATCATGTTATTACCAAATCTTAGCATATCATCAATATAAAGATGTATTATTACTTCATAATCTTTGGTAAATTTTGAGTAAACACACTTGTCAGCTCTATTATGTTTAAAACCATTAGATAATATGGATGAATCAAATTTTTCATGCCATTGTTTAGGAACTTGCTTTAGCCCATAAAGTGATTTAACCAATTTACAAACTTTTTTCTCATTTCCAAGAAGTATAAGGCCTTCTAGTTGTTCTATGTATACTTTCTCTTTTAAATCACTATTTAAAAAGGTTGTTTTAACATCCATTTGATGTATATGTAACTTATAAATTGAATCTAATGCTATAAGTGTTATAATGGATGTTATTCTAGCTACTAGAGCATATGTATCAAAATAGTCTATCCTTTTTTTTTGTTTGAAAATTTTTGCAACTAATCTTGCTTTAAAGGTTTGTACAGAACCATCAATATTATATTTTCTTCTAAACATCCATTTATATCCAATTGATTTAGAATTTGAACGTAAATCAACGAAGACCCATGCATTATTAGACATTATTGAGTCCATTTCATTATTTACAGCTTCTTTCCAAAAAGCTGCATCTCTTGAAGACATTGCTTCGTTGAAAGTTTTGGAGTCTTCATCTACACTTAATAGAAGTGGTGTTTTATTTATTATTTTGGATCTATCTCATTCAACTAGAAATATAATCAGAATCTAAATGTTTCTCTTTTCTCAATCTTTGACTTTTTCTTGGCTCAATAGATTCATTAATTTCTTTTCTTTTGCCACCAACTATTGGAGCCATTTCTACTTGCTTTCTTTTTCATAATTAATAGAATTGTAAACAAATTTATTTTCAAAGAAATCTACATGTATAGATTCAACTATAACATTAAAATTTAAATCAAGTAATCTATATGTTTTTGAATTTTATGCATAACTAACAAAAATCCTTTTAATGCCTCTAGGTCCTAATTTTGTTTTATGAGGATCCTTGACTTTATAATAAGTTATACACTTGCACACTTTAAATAATTTAAATTTGATTTTCTGCCATTATTCCATAATTCATATGGTATTATAAGTAATTTCTTTAAAAGAGCTCTATTACTTATATGACATGATGTTAAAAGTGCTTCTCTCTAAAGATTAAAATGAGCCTTTGCATTCAACAACATCCTATTTACTATATCTACTAACATTCCATTTTTTCTTTTGGCTAATCCATTATATTGGGGTGCATAAGGAACTGTTCTTTGATTAATTATTCCATTCTTTTTACAAAATAGAGAAAACGAGTCTGAAAAATATTCTCCTCTTCTATCACTTCGAAGAATTTTAATCTTCTTTTCTTTTTGATTCTCAACAACGGTTTTAAATTCTTTGAATTTATCTAATGTTTCATCTTTTGTTTTCATTAAATAAACATAAGTGAAGTGAGAATAATCATCAATAAACATTATAAATACCTTCTCCTTCCCTTTGTTAGTAAATCATTTAGTTCACAAATATCAGAATGTATAAGTTCTAATAATTCTGATTTTCTTTCAACTTCTAAAAAAGTTTCTTAGTCATTTTTACCTCAACACAAATTTCACATTTTCTAAAATTATCTTTTTGGCATGACATATAATCATGTTTTGACATAAATTTTAAAGATTGAAAATTTAAATGACCTAGTCTAACATCCCATAAATCAGAAGAATGTTCAATAGTTTACACAAAAGAATAATTTATTTCATTGACACTAAGTTTGAATATTCTGTCATAGGAATATTCTTTTCCAACAAATACAACATTTTTCGATACTACAACCTTATCAGATTCTACTACAATCTTAAAATCATTCTTACACAATAAATGTATAGATACAAGATTTTTTATAATTTCAGGAACATAAAATACGTTAAGTAAAGTTAATTTTTGCCCTAGGTAAATTTTAATTGAGCCGTTCTTTTGCCAAGCACCTTAGCAGGTTTATGATTCCCTATTAGAATTTCTTCTGATCTCTTGAGTTCTTCATAACTCTTTAATTGCTTTTGTCATTGCAAACATGAATAGTAGCATCAAAATCTAACCACCATTCTGATTGTTTTGTTGCAATAGCTATATTTACTTCGGTAACTATTCCAATATGCATTTCAGTAACCATCACAACAAGCTCTTTGACATCACATTCAACAAGGTTTACTTTGTTTCCAGAACCAGAAGCAGCAATATTGTTTTCAAGATTTTCAAAATTTCTGAACTTGCACTCCTTGATAAAATGTCTTTTCTTTTCACAATGATAACACATTTTATCACTTTTATATTTCTTGGATTTCTTGAAGTTTATTTTTTAGATTATATTTCTTTTCAATTTTTCAAAACCCTTTTCTTTTTCACTAACGAGATTTATATTCGACCCAAGAATGAGTGCATCTCTAGCATGATTTTTTGCCTCAATATGTAAATGAGTTTGAAACTCTTAAATAGTAAAACTTTTTGGAGAGTGCAAAATTTTTTTCCTATATCCATTCCAAGAAGGTGGAAGTTTCGATAGAATTGCTCCTACTTGAAGTGAATTAGGAATTTTGATTTCTAGTTCGTTTAATTTAAAGGTCAGAATTCGTAACTTATGTACTTGATCCATAATTGGTTTGGTATCTGTCATGATAAACTCAAAGTATCTCAATGCAAGAAATTTGTCCGTACCTTTCTTCTCCTTTTTGTACATTTCTTTCTTCTCTTTTTTGTACATTTACTCAAGTGCAGTTCAGATTTCTTTTGCTGAAGTCTTATGTTTGAAGAGATCATACAATGGATCAGTGAGAGAATTGAGAATGTATCCATGACATGTAAACTCATTATGTTTCCGTTTCTCCATGTTAACATCAATTGCGGCAGCAGTTGTTATTGCAGCAATATTTTCAGAAGATGATTCTATTGACGTGATTTCTTTTGGATTTGATGGTTGATCCGTCTCAAGAACATAATAAATTTTCAATATGGTTAATAGGAATATCATCTTATCCCTCTATCTAATGCAATTCATTCCATCGAATCTATCAAGTTTAATCACTTCTTGATTTTGGAAGTGAACCTTCACACTTGAATCCAAGCTGGTCTCCATTGAGAAAAAAGTTTAAAAAAATACCTTAAAGAATGTTAGAAATTTAGAAAAAGAAGAAAGAGTATAACTTTGAGAACGTGAATTGTCACTTTCCTTAAAAGAATTTTTTCAACTTTTAAGATACAACAAAGCTCCTAACACAGTTATCAGAATTGTGAAATTGACAGTATAAGAATGTTATTTATATAATAAGCTAGCGTATATGTCTTTCAATGAAAAAACTTATATCCTTTCATAACATGACTCTTCAAATAAGATGAAAAGATATTTTTTTTTCATAATATGACTTTTTAAAGAGTTATTTCCTTTTATAATATAATTATTTAAATATTATATTTAATAACTTTTAAAAATTATATTTTAATAAAATAATTATTTATAATTCTTTAATTACAACTTTTTTCAACATGAACAAACGATCTAACAAACCCTGCATTTTGTTTTCTTCAGGATTCGAGGGGAGCGGGTGCTGACTTTGGCGGTGCAACATGGCTTAAACAGTTTAAGGGAAAGCGGGCTGAAGGGAATAGAACCTAAGTCAGCCATAGGTGGAGGACCTAATACGTGACCTCCCCGACTAGGAGTAGGGTTCTAAAGTCTATACATCTCGTCTTTAAAGAAAGTGATGCTTGAACCACTAATTCAAAGAATCATGTTCAGTATGCTCATAGTTTTTAGTATTTAGTGTGTCATTTGGTTATTAGTCATATAGCAACTACGCGGACGTGATTGTCCCCCTCCTACACTCCGTTATCTAGCTTAATCTCACAAGATTCTTATTGCCCTTGGCTAGGCTGCTTTTTATGTTAGCATATCATCAAGATGTGTAAGTGCCCCATTTCAGTTGCACCAGTCCTAGAGCACATCCAGGGGGTCCAGACGCAAGTATAACACAACATTGCGATGCCGCTCCTTTTCCTCTTTCCATTTAACTTTATTTGTTGCTTAATTTGGAACCAAGTCATGGAAAATTATATGGTGCTAAATCAAGGAGCATATTATGTTTAATTTTTGTCTAAGATTCGCAGGTAATATCTCTGTCTCGGTTCCCCTGTTTCGTACAATTATAAGCAACAAAAGAGGGCATTGACAAATTAAAAAAGAAACAGAATATTCAAAGAACTATGCATGCATGCAAGATTTAACATACTTTTGACAACAATAATTGAAGTAAAGCAACATCTTTAAAACCTAAACCCACTCTGACTTACCCTGCTGCCTGCAGTACATGGTCTCTTGTCTCCTATATAACTCTTCCAATCACCTTTCAGAAATTACTAAAAACATTCCAGGATGAAATTGTTGATAGTACTGCTGAATGTTGGAGGATTTCTGATTGCATATTGAAAGGAAAACACTTTTAGTTAGTGATGGATTAAGTTAAGCAAGTGAGCCAAGTGTAATCTAGTTGACATTATAGGTTTTGTTGCATCATGAAGATATACATATATATTAGTTTCTAAGAAAGGGTAACTTCAGTCCTCAAAGCTATCACATCTGCACATGGTGGGACTCATTCCTCGACCCCATTCAATCATATATTCCGGTGAGATGATACCCAATCTAAATTTTTATTTGCCAAACGTGCATGTAAGTGGACGTGATGCTGCTATCTTTATATTCAAGTGATGACAAGCTGTCCCTTTTACAATTAACAACAAAGAAAGTTGTTTGATTCAACGCAGAATAATGAATTAAAAACCATCAGTCTTTAGAATTTGTATGCAAACACGAGGTGCTATTTTTTGGTTTAAACTTATTATTATAACAGGGGAATTTTTATCATCTAACGATCGGTAAACCACCACTGAGTCATGGAGAATCTGCTTTACAGTTCACTTGCATATTAAGCCTCCCCTTTTCTTCTTTTTTCTTTGGCTAGGTGTCGCCAAAGTTAATGAATGCTAGTGAATGGTGACCACTTAGCTTCCAGCACAATGCATGGTTGGTTTCATGGGAATGAATTGGATGCTTCTGTTCGCTCTCTGTTGTTTTCAGCATCGGTTCTTAATTCTCAGGCAGGTTTCAGCATGTTTTTACGATGACATTCTTCCTTTTTCTTTTCTTTTCTTGTTAATGTCGATGAATCTCTTTTCATTGCATGTAAATCTCATTGACTTGTAACATCCCGGAAAATACGAATTAAGGTTGGTTCAATCCTTCATTATCAAGCTAAATACATATATGGTTGAGACAATTAATGAAGCTTTGGCTGAGCTGTAACACTAATCATTCAACCTTTAATTGACAAGTGTTGATCTTTTGGAGCTCTCATCAGTGGTGGTCTAGACCACTTGATTTATCCGAGTAACAAATTAGCAATGGCTCAAGATCCTGCCAAACTTTTATAGCTTGCAACTTTGATGGAATAGTGACATATTACATGGTATAAATTTAGGTTCCATAATTATCTTCCTAAATTAGATTAAATTTAGGAATTATAACAAATTATAGCTTGTTATATAGTGAGGTTTAATTATGTTTAAAATGTTAATTAGCTTCATTTAAAGATAATGTAATAATTTATTAATTTGTTTGTTAGTGCTTGTAATGTGTACTTTAGCCACAAACATAATTTAAGCATCTTTATGATTAAGAACTGAAACGGCAATAAATTTTTTTTGTGTGAGGAGTTTAATTTATCAAAAATTATAATTAAAAATTTTAATTGGTCATTATATAACAAGATGGAAATTATAATTACGAATTGTTCTCATTGAAAAATCAAATTTTCATTATAATTAGTTACATTATAATTAAATTTTTTCTTTTTAACTTTTCCTGACAAGTAGGTTTTTTGGTTCCCAAACGAGGCGGGATTAATAAAAGTCCGTAATGGCAGGGTTTTGGACTTTGGGGTTTAACCATGTGGGGAGGGGCTTTGCCTTTTTGGCTTGAAACTCCTTGGTTCAATTAGGGTTTACAAGTTCTATTTGTTCCTGAATTAGGTTTTTGTCTGAGGCGGCTAGGGTTTTTCTTTGACCTTCCTGTCTCTATATAAATTTTTTTTCGCTGCCTTCCATCTTATTTTTCGTAGTAAACTCCCTCTGTCCCTAGGACTTCCCAGCAATAAATACTGGAAAAGTTCTTAAAAATTTTCGCATTTCTTTTATTCAAATTTCTCAGAATTCTGTCTTCAAACTCGTTTTTTGATCCAAATTCTCATCTGGGTTTTTTTTTAATTCTTTGCTAAGCATTTTAACAATCATCATCTCCATTCTCAATTTATCCAATTTGGATTTTCTTCTGATACTGGTAAGTTTTTCTGGTTTTTTTGACGGATACCCGTCTCAGTAGTTTTATTGCTTTTTATAATCTGATTGTTATATTCATTAAATTCAATCTGATTTTATTATCCTTGTTAGAAAGAGTTTGGAATTTATGCAATTATTATTGGTGATTTTGATTTTTATCTGATTGAGTTGTTGCTGTTCTGCATTGCCACTTTACATCAAATCTTTGTTTGGTTTCATCAGATAGCCTTGATCCAATACACTTTTGGAGTTGACGTTGGTAGATTAATTGAAAGTTGAGTATTGGGATAAAGATCGATTCTGTTCTAAACCTTTAATAGTCATGAATACGAGTTATCCTGAATCTTGCTCTTCCTTTATGAGACTGCCGCAATCAACTTATGCTGGCAGTGACGCCATTGGGATTTGGCCTGAATTTGCTATGAATGATGGGCAATTTGACCCACATTCAGAGTTTGAACAACAACCTCCCTTTAAAAGACCTAGGCATTCTGAGGACAGCCAATCGAATGTCGTGCATTGTCTGCCTACCAATTCAAGGATGCCCTTAAATCCTCCTGTCAATAAAGGAACGAGTAATATTTTCTTTAAGACTCGTATGTGTGCGAAATTTAGATTGGGTACTTGTAGGAATGGTGAAGGTTGCAACTTTGCTCATGGCATTGAGGATCTGCGTCAGCCTCCTCCTAATTGGCAAGAACTTGTTGGTGGACGTGATGAAGAGCGTCCATCAGGGAATTGGGATGATGACCAGAAGATAATCCATCGGATGAAGCTGTGTAAGAAATTTTACAATGGAGAAGAATGCCCATATGGGGACAGATGTAATTTTCTTCATGAAGATCCATCAAAGTTCAGGGATGATATGGGGAGGTTTAGAGAGAGCTCAGCTATTAGCATTGGGACAATGGGTCCACCAGGCGGGCATGGAACTGCATCTGATCAATCAGAAGGTAATAGACCTTTAAACAGCACTACTTCAGATGCATTTCGAGGTAATATGAAGCCTGTGTATTGGAAAACAAAGTTATGTACAAAGTGGGAGACAACAGGTCATTGCCCCTTTGGTGAGAAATGTCACTTTGCTCATGGGCATTCAGGTATATATTATGTTTAGATTTTTGTTCTAGCTTCACTTATCTTATTGTTTCCTGCCATGCAACTTCTAATTTTGATTTCAGATAGATTTAAATGACATTATCTGGTCTTTCTACAGAAATTTTAAGAACTCATAAAGATATGGTGAACTCGTAAGTTGTGTTAGATATTGACCAAGTTAGGCGGTTTCTTGATTAGGTTATGATTTTACGAATGCACTTACTAATTTGTTATTTCATTTTGAATTTGTCAAGTATCTCTGTAGGCGTTGGTGTTTTTTGAATTTGATTGTAGAAGAGACCTCATATCCAAAATGTGATACTGTTGACAGGATGCTTTAGGTGTGAAAATGATACAGACCATTATAAATTGTTTTGTTTCATGGTGGTCTTTCATTTTGTTTTCTCCATATATCACTTTGCTCTAAAGTTTGATGCATATACATGAGACGAGTCGCGCCTGTTGCTTTTATGCATATTTTGCCTGCGCATGATTATTAGTCGTGATAACTTCTGCCTATGTGAAAAATGAGGAACATGTCTTCTAAATAAGATATTGGTAGCTAATCTGTATCTAATGTTGCCTGTTTTTGTAATCAGAGTTACAGGGGATAGGCGGACGCGTTGATGGGGATTTTGGAAATACATGTTCTGGTTTGACAAGAACTGGTTCCATTTCCACAAAAGTTCATAACCTTCCTGCTAATGATGCACCTTCAGTGACAGCAAGTGTCCCTTCTTTAAATGAAGAAGCCCAGGCTAAGAAATGCTTGTTCAAATGGAAAGGACCGAGGAAAATCAATAGGATTTATGGGGATTGGCTCGATGATCTGCCATTGGTACAAAATATGCCCAGTCAGGTGGAGAGCTGAGTTCAAATTCAAGTTTAACATCGGACCTGAAGATATAACAAGAATTTCTTTTGAGTTCTATTTTTGAGAGTTTGGCCTCCATTGAGTCATTTAAAGAACGTGAACCTTTTTCTTTTCTTAATCTTAGCAAGGAAATCGTGTTCCTTTTGAATATTAGTATGTTAGCTATGGTTGTCTGGCCGTAACTCATAGGGAATTGTCTCTCTTTCTTTCTTCCTTCCTTTGTGACCCTCCCTTTTAAGGGGTTGATAAAGCAAATAGTAAAAATGCATTAAAAAATGAGAGTATCAAATGAAAGCAAGAGTTTGAATAAAAGATATAATATTGAATGCCCATCATTTCTTCTTTTTATTGCATTGATAGTGGTTTCTTTTTAAAGAAATTTGTTTCACCATCTTGTCTATTGAAAGAAATAGGTAGAGTTACAAAGTAAACGACAAAATGTTAAATTATAATTTGACCTAAAAATGATAAAATGATCAACAATAACAACTCTAATGTAATTACCAAACTATACTAATTTTTTTTATACACAAAATTTTACATACAGAAAATGCCTTTTACTTAAAAATAGCAAAAAATGCTACTCAAGTAGTATGAAAAGAAAAACTCGGGGAGATTTTTCCACATAACTTGGAGTTTCGTGGCTGCCCGCCAGTCAGGTAGCGGGTAATCATCTAAGGGGTCCACAAGAAAAGGAGAAGTTCTTAAACGAGACACGTGTCATATCTCCAAACGCCTTAGTCATCACCTACTTCCTGCCCCTCTCTCTCTCTCTCTCTCTCTCTCAAGTATCAAGTATCAACCGCACAAATGGACCAGGTTGAGCCATGCTCTGTCTTTCTCTCCTCCTCTCTTCTTCGTCTTCTTCCTCTGGTTTCCTTCTCTCGAAAACCCTAACTCTAACAAAAAGAACAATCATTTCTTCTCTAACCACGATGTCCATAAGCCTTAATTCCCATGCATTTGCTGGCAATCCTTTAAGATCCAAAACCCCTAAAACCCATGATCCATTTTCCCCTTCTTCAGCTTTTGAATCCCTGAAAACCCGTCTCCTCCATAACCCAGAAAACCATCCTCCTTCAGAGTCTCCTCTTTTCAAGGTCTTGCCTTTCAGAAAGGGCAGACCTTTGGCTTCTTCCTTTGTTACTGGGGATGATGTTGTGCCTAGTTGGCATCTGGGGTGGATCAGTTTGGCTGATTGTGAACGTATTTTGGAAAAGTATGGGCTCCAGCAGAGGGAGGAGTCTTTTGTTTATTTGGGTTCAAGGGCTGAGGAAGATGTTGTTTATTGGGCTATTGATGTTTCTGAGGAAGGTGGGTTGGTTCCTGAATTGGGTAGCAGGCAGTTTTGTTTTGTGGAGCTTAGGACACTAATGGTGGCTACTGATTGGGCTGATTCTTTGGCTATGGGTGAATTGGCTGTTGCGGGTCATGTAAGTGGGAAAAGTGGTGATTTTTTTGATATATTGATCATGTTTTGTGCTTTATTTTTTGTTTTTGCATTTGAAGCTTCATTCTTTGTTAAAAAAATGCGTGTTGTTTTAAATGAATGATGCTGTTGAAATATTATCCAGTTGGCATTGCTAAGTTTTGGTTGCTGTGTTGTTTTTCTGCATTGGCCCTTGTGATTAAATATAAAAGGTTTTTCACCTTCTGAGTACTATTAGTCACCTTTGCATATTTTTTACGGAGAGTTTTACTTTTACCTGTTTATTACATTTGATCAGGCGCGGGCATTGCTTGAATGGCATAATTTATCGCGATTTTGTGGACATTGTGGAGAGAAAACAGTCCCCATGGAAGCTGGGAGAAGGAAACAATGCTCCAATGAATTATGCAAAATAAGGGTTTACCCTCGTATTGATCCAGTAAAGCATTACTCTTATATTGCCTCAATTGATGTTTGAACTTTGAAATTTTCGACCAGTGGATTTGTAGGGTGTCACATTGCTCTCTCTAACTAATGTTTCTTGACAATAGGTTGTCATTATGTTGGTGATTGATAGAGAAAATGATCGTGCCCTTTTAAGTAGACAGTCCAGATTTGTACCTCGAATGTGGAGTTGCTTAGCTGGATTCATAGAGGTAACTGTCTTAGGAAACTTCAAACTTTTATCAAGTTTTAGATTAGAGATTATCTTAAATATGAGAAAGAGAGCAATCTCACCCTTATTCTCAACATCCTGGTCAATAAAAAAAAATCGTTGTTGATTTCTGCAATTTCATTATTTCATATCTTCAATTTTCATTAGCCAGGGGAAAGCTTAGAAGAGGCAGTGAGGAGAGAAACATATGAAGAGACTGGTATTGAAGTTGGAGAAGTTGTCTATCATAGTTCTCAGCCGTGGCCTGGTATAATTCTGCAACATTGTTTCCATGTGTATGTTTTCTTGTGTTGTGCTATGGTTTGTATTTGATTTTTCCTTTAAACTGTTGAGGAGATATAATTATACTTAATAGAAAACTGTTTATATGCTGATGGTAGTTTAGACTCCGCTTGTCCAGCCAGACATTAGTACTTGTAATGGTTAGTTAATATCCTTTCTTTTATTTTCGTTTCATTCTTTTTGAAACAGTGTGCTGTGGTAGGGTTTAATGCTTTGTCTTTGAAAATTTTCTATCTAGTAACTGTTTTTATTTTTTGTTTTTATAGGAGTATAAAACCTTGTCTAATTTGCACTTTTCAGTTTCTTGCAAGATGTCTGCACAATGTTTATACATTTCCCCCGTATTTATATAAGCATATTTATATCTGTTCCTTTGTAAAATTACTAATCTGATTTGTTTTCAGTTGGTCCAAGTAGCATACCGTGCCAATTGATGGTCGGGTTTTTTGCATATGCAAACTCTGTTGAAATAGATGTGGATAAGGAAGAATTAGAAGGTACTTGAACATGCAGATATTTAATGCCATTTACAATTTTCATTTCAGGGTTGCTTTATTTTAAAGCGAACGTATTTTGTAGTCCTTTGCTATGTAATTTTTCTGTTTTTCTTTTCCCTTAGCTCCTGGAAAACTAGTAGTCAACTCCTGTGCTGTCTAAACCATGCTTAACCCATGCTTAAGAGATTGGTGATGTTCTCTCCATTGCACTTTATTTAAATACTGGTCAATGTTGTTTACACCTTTGGCATCCTGATTGTCACTGTAATGAAGCATAGGTTTTTGATGGCACTGTTAATAGTTTTCACTGGGGTTCTGTAGGACAAAAACTGTCTTAATGGTTAATACATGTGACATATTGAAACACAGTTTGAAAATTCAATTCTTGAGGAACCAACTTTATGATGCAGGGGATTCAGTATTCATTATGAATAATGTTGGTTTAAAAAATTTGCAATAGTTATGTGGGTTTGATCACAGATTATAACAAGGGCTTTTGCACTGTCAGATAAGCTGCTGTAGAAAATCTTGAAATGTAATAGGTTCCTCGCATTTTGCAATAGAATCATAGAAATATATGAGTCAAGGAAGAGACTGTATATGGTTAGTGGATTGAGTGATGCACACACATGTGGACAGGTGCACATGCTTGAACATATTTATCCTTAGAGCCTCAGTCCTGAAGCATCAGGGGGAAAATTATTTTCCAGTATTTTGTACTTGTACTTACTAGATTGGGTTTAACAATGGTGAGACTTTTTTTTTTGTCTAGATGCTCAGTGGCACAGTAGAGAAGATGTAAGGAAAGCATTGACATTTGCTGAGTACAAGAAGGCACAAAGAACAGCTGCGACTAAAGTAGATCAAATTTGCAAGGGAGTTGAGAGAGGACAGAGTTTGTCAGCAGATTTTAATGTGGAAAGTGGGGAACTTGCTCCAATGTTTATTCCTGGGCCATTCGCAATTGCCCATCACCTCATTTCTACATGGGCTAATCAAGATCCATCGACTAGTGCTGCAACTCTACTGAAACAACCCAGCAGTTCCATTTCAAATTTGTAGCATTCTCATTCTCTTCCAAAGACTAAAGACTGCAGGCTGCAGCAGATGCTTTGTGCTTGTTCCAATGTGTTCGTCCTCATTTTAAGGAAAAGTTTGTCCTTTTCTTCTTTTTAAGGATTCTTTGAAATACTAGAAATTCTGCTATCTTATATTAGAAAAATAGCAATAATCATTTTGAAATGAATGAAAGCAGTTCCCCTTTTCAGTTTTGGACAGTGCTTTCTGTAAAGTTTGCCGATTTGTCTGTGTAACCAACATTAACTTAAGATTCAATGTTCAATGCAGATTCATTTGCTGTCAACTTTATAGCATTCAAATCTCATACATATTTCCTCTGTTTATCATGTCATCCAAAGCAGGTACTCTATGAATGACTGCAACAAGTGATTTTAGGTTCACTAATAATCGGTGGTCAGTGAAGTTTGGTCAGTTTAATTTGCTGAGGTATGAAGTTCACATGTAGTATGGCATTACACTGCGCTGCTATTGATTCTATTTTCACTTTTAGAGACTGCAGACTAGCTTTTGCCAACTCTTGTGACTTACCAGAAAACTTCCCAAAGTTGCTACCTGAAGTACCAGGTTGCATCTTTATAAAAGTGGGAATTCAGAAAGGAGACGTATTTGTTTGTTCTCAAGGAACTAGCTGAAAATTTTTGGTCTAAACTATAAGTCGCAGAAAGCCTAGTTTCCAAATTATATTGCCAGTTATACTTATGACCTAAGCCAAATCCAATATCCCCTGGGTTATAGACCTAGGGCTGTACTAATTCCAGTTGGGAACGTACCCAGGATTTAACTTTACATCTTGCTTCCATACTCTATTAATCATCGTGATCATTCGGCAATCAGACGTTAGTTGATTGTCTTGTCAAATGTTAAGAGTTACTCCCAACAGCAAAAATGAGAAGCATGATTCCAAGAACATTATATTTACGCATTTACTTGAACAGGGTTATTACTGATTAATTGATTTCTCTATTCTCTACACAACATGTGAAGGCACTGTCAACTGTCAGAGCCTGAGACTTGGTGTAGGCTTCTTTTGTCAACCGCCACATTCAAAACAATTTCCTTCTTTTCATTTGACCATGCAGATTGTTGATTCTGCATTTAGAACCAGGTCAGGTGTGTCTAAGCCGGGATCAATGTACTGGAACACAGGTCTTACGGTTAATTTAGGGTATAATCATATGCATCTGTTATTATTCTTTTATTGACACAATAATATAAACAAGATGCAGGCACTTCTTATAGACAAATACTCCTAAAAGACAGCAAGATTTTTCACACGTTTTGTCAGTGTGATGCCAAGTATTGTTCAAGTTTTCTTATGTACCTTCTTTGCAGATTTGGCCCATTTTATAGTTGACCTGGCCAAAGCATCCATTGGATCGATACATTTTTTGAGAAGAGGATCCTCTCGAGGTAGAAGATTCTGCAGTTCATCGGAAGCAAGGATGACAACATTCACAGCGCTGATTAAAAGGATTTGGATTGCAACTCTCAAGAGGTTCCGAGCCCCTTCCATGTCCCTTTTGTTCAATGATTCAATTGCAGGAATCAGAATGTGTTCCATGGTTCCCTTGTCTGGCAAAACAACCTCAAAACCCTGCAAATTGAAGTGTAAGGAGAAAAGAAGTGCACTTCAGGATGAACAGAATGAAAATTCGTCCAAGTGGTATTTTCATACTGTGCAAGCTGAAATTTTGTGAGTGATGTAGGTAAAATATACAAATATGGAAAAAGACAGCGGAAAGATAAAACAGATTCAAAACAAAGATGTGATACTTGAGAAGCAGAACTATCGTCCATCAGATATTCCAGATCTTCAAATTATTTGAGTATCTTGATAGAAAGGCCAATAGGTAGCAGACAGAACTCCTTTTTCAAGCCCTTTGTCTACAAATTAGTTGTTTCATATGAGGTTCTCCAACCAGATCAAATCAAGCAAAAGGTTTTTGGTGACTGGTGAATGAGCCCTCATCATCTCTCAAATGAGGGTATAGCTCTGAACTTAAAATCTAAACAGTAACTCTGTTTCACTAGGCACTGCCCCTAAGAGATCAACTGCGGCACCAAAAACCTGTTCCTGCTCTATAACAGGTCTTCATCTTTTTTCCCAAAAACTCCTACTAAGTGAGCAACTGTGCCCAACCCCAAAACCCAGGGGGAGCAACAACGCATCAAATTTCAACCAGAAGACATGAGACAGAACACGTATATAATTGAAAATATCTCTGTCAAACACTGGACCACAGTAACCCGAGAGGGCAGGACTGAATAATTCTTTTCTCCTCAACAGAATTCATGTGCTGAATGTGGTGCGTATGAAAACTTATCTGCTCCTTCTGATGCATGTGTTTGAGACTCCAATTTGGGTCTCTTTCATCATAATGTATATACCAACATAATATTTAAAATTTTTTAGACAAGCAACTCACAGAAATATTTGTTTGTGAGATCAAACCAGCAGAATCAGATATTCTTGTGAAGGGGCATTAGTAAAACTCAAATAAGCTAAAATTTCTGTGATGGGACAGACACTATACAGATAAGGGCATGAGTTAGGAATTATGATACCTGCTTCTGGAGTTTTTCCTGGTAAAAACCAGCAGCTATAGTTTCATAGGTGGCAAGCACCCCAATCCGCACGGTACTCCCAGCATCCAGTGGTTTCAGTTTTGCTTCCTTAAGCTCTCTGGCAACACATTCACCGACATGGAAAAATGGCAGCGAGCAGCCCTCAGATATCTCATCATGCCATGCGTTTGAGATATGGCATGGCATAACTATGCAACGAGCTCCAGACTGCTCAAGAAATACTCTTTTATTCCTCAGATTCTCAATAATAGGTTCGTGATCCACTTCCTTTTGAGCAATTTCACCTGAAGATGAATGAATTGAACCTTGAGAGATAAGGCCCTCATCCAGGGCTGGATCACTGCAGACGACAAAAGGAACACATTCTTCTCCATTTCTTGAGCTCCAGCACACCAGTTTCTCCAGGAAAATAAGAGTAGACAAAACAGAAACCCCTCCAATAATACCGACAGTATTTGCTTGACTAAGCAGGGAATTCTGAGTCTGGCATTTAATTATGGCTGAGCATGAACCTGATATCTTTTTGGATTCAGGTAAATTTCCACTCTCATTGGTTTGTAGAAGTGATGAAGACATTTGTACTGCAATAGATGGGGTTGGTCTTGCTCTACACTGGCTTCTGCTTTTACTTAAATTACCCAGAACTGGTGGGCGGTGTACAGTAGTATTGAACGACATAGTCATGCCTCCATCAAACATCCCTGATTGCTAAAAGCTTTTAGAAGCTAAAACAGTTCAAATCAGCGAAAATCACTGCCTTTTATACAGTTTTCTATTAATAGCAATCTCCTTTATACAGACCTCCTTTAAAAAGCTCTCAGAATCTCCAAGGACGGTGTGCTGTATTTCAGCACCAAAATCCTCGTGGCTCCTGCTCTAAGCCCAAAATCTGACCTCAAAATACACTGAATTCTCATGCGTTTCAGATTGCAACCCTGATAAAAGACCCTTGAGAAGACTCTCTACACTGCAGATCCCGAGCAAAAAACTCCGATGGCCGAGCTTACTGTCGACTGTTGAATCACTGTATAGTGTGGTGCAACTACAAAACCAAACCGACACATGTTAAAGGAAATTTCTTTGCGTTTTTTTGACAGCAAAGGGGAGACTAAAATCAACAATAAGATTTTTATTAAGATGTCTGTAAAACGGCGGGAGGCACATGGGGACAATGACACTTAATTCTGCAGAGGCTTTTTGTATCTGCAACCATGACAATGAATGAGCAATCATATAAAGAGGGAAGGAATCTTCATTATTGTCACCCTCTTACCTTGTTCCATTGCCTCATTTTCTGCCGTTCAAAGCTTAGATAACATTAATAATTCAAGGCATAATTTTACAAATCCATATAAAGACAGACATCTATTACCCTTTGGCCTAAATTATCTTTTGTCATTTCCTGACAAATCTGACAATGTTTGCAGCAAATTGGAAGCATTCAGCTGTCAGAGGGAAAGTTGGCAAATGTGGTACTGACCAAAATTAGTACTTCGGAATGAATGCACCTGCTTGTGTGGAGGCTCCCCTACAGTTAATTTACTGTTAGATAAAACAACAATACTAAGCGGATTCATTTTTCAACTAAAGGGTTCTGTATTTTTTTTCCCTTGATAAATGGTGATGGGGTTACTGTATATCAATTCTTTCAATGAACAAACAGACAAGACAACTTGGTCAATCGATCAATGAACAATCAAACGCATGACAAAGTATTTTTGTCAATAATTTGCTCAAGTGGTTTGATATAATGTTTCTTTCTTAGACAACCTGAGAGACACGATTCAGTAGAACCATGCCACGCAGGCTCAAATTCCAGCATATGATCATCTCTGAAAGTTCAGATGTCATCTCAAACTTTCTTCACTAAACCATAGATCTGCTTCTATCTTTCAGCATCTTTATCAGAAAAACTTGTGTATATAGATGATGGTTGTTTACATTTTCCAGCCCACGGGTAATAGGAATTTCTTTTTTTCTTTGAACGAATTCATAAAACTCTAAATTTTTATCAAAGTTATTTAACCATTTTATTAAAATCCAAAATGAAAATAAATTTAAACCTGACATATTAAATCAAATCACATGCCTTTTAATTTTTAAATTAAAATTATTATTTAAATGATATGTTACATAATTAGTTTTAATTTTTACTTAAACTTCACGTTTTCAAAAATCTAAATGAAAATGAGTTACTTTTAAATGGTATGTTAACCATTTTAACTAAGAATATTAAGAGAATAAACATGTGCCTTTTTAGACAAAGGTTACCTATTCCTGAGAGTCCATTGTGCTCACCTGAACCGAGCCCCTCTTATAATCATTTCCTCTGTTCTTTTCGGCCAGTAATCATTTCCTCTGTTGATTGACTTGGTTCCCTTCAATGCTCCTAATTGATTTATTTTCTTCATAAAATGATGGTTTATTAATGATTATATTTTTATTTGGCCTGTAACGTCATATTCTTATGAGCCATGATGGCTCTGCCGAATTTCGGTAATGTTTATGACATCATTTTGTGACAGACTAAATACTAACCAAACGTTTGGGAGAGGGGAATGGTTCCTTTTCCTTCACAATACTTTTTCTGAAGTTCGGTTACATTTTAGGTTGGGAAAAGCCATTCCCGAAAAACGCAGTAATGATTCCCCAGTCCCAGTATTTGTTATTCCATTCCTGAAATACTATTATTTTCTCATGAGTTCTTTTTAAAAATATTTCTTCTAAATAAGATATTTTTGAAAATAATTTTTTATAATTATAATTTTTTTAATTGAAAAATTAATTTTAAATAAAATTATCCTTAAATAAAACTGATTTATATATTTAGATCCGCGTCTCAAATCGATTTATATTCTTTAAGCTTTTTTTATCAAACTATTCATTTATAGAATTTTACTTACTATAAAGAAAAACTTATAATCATTTTGAACATTTTGAAGTAATTTTTGATAAACGAGAAATTTTTTTGAGCTTTTTAAACATTTTTAAGTATTTTGAAGTACTTTTTATAAATAAAAAAAAATTGAGCATTTTTCATCAAATAGGCTTATTCGTTAATTATGTTATTAAATAGAATATAATGTATTGTTTGAAGTTGTTGATTTTGTTAAATAAAATTTTTATAATTTTTAGACATTATGTGATTAATTTTAAATATTGCATGACTGGTTGATATGACATTTGTGACTAGTTAATAAGTATTTAGTATCCGGTTAGTAAGGCGCAACTAATTAACAAGACATTGCGTGATTTAGGCATTGTCTGAAAATCAGTTACGCAATACTTAAAAACCAATCACTGCCTAAAATCAAAGATGTAATGATTAAGTCACACAATATTTAAAAACCAGTAACACAATGTTCAAAACCAATAATGTAATATCTAATAATTAATTGATTTGCTTACTTCAAACCAGCTTTAAGTTGTCAAAGTTAAATAATGTTTTAATTTACAGATATGTCTAATCAATTTTAACTTGTCAACTTTAATGTTTATGAATATACCACTAAACCTAATAACCTAAAATACATATATATATTTTTTTACTAAGTCATGAAATTATGCATTTTATAAAAAAAAAGTTATAAAATTCCATAACCCTCCATAAGAGAATATATCTCTAACAGGAGCGCCTTGCTCACTCTCCTTATGCAAAATATACTTTTTTTGACAAAATATTCTCTAAATAATTCAATTCAAAATCTCATAAAAAGAAATGTAATATTCAACAAACATACTTAATAATTATCCTAATTCTAAGCACAATAAAATCGTAAATCATCATCAAATCTAGCAAACATGTTCTAGTTGTTTCTTCTCTCAAAACCTATTATCTTAATTAATCTGATTAAACTCATCAACACAGATATCTCTATCGCAGTACACATTTTGAAGCAAATCATTATCAAAAAGCATCAAATTACCATATTCATTATACTAATTGTAATCACCATAAAATAGTAAAATCGTTATTTATTACCATTAAAAATCTTAAAATCTACTATAAAAAAAAAAAAAATAAGAAAGAGATGTCATCTCTATTGTTTAGGATAGTGAAAATGAATTAGGTGGTGAGATAGATAATATTTAATAAAAAAAATTAAAATTTAATTTTAAAATTTTTATTTGAACAATAAAATAACAAAAACTAAAATTATTTTAAATTATCTGAAATTATTTAAAAAGTATTCTTATAAAATAATGCTAAAAATTGAATCTCTCACAATTTCCTCTTTTCTCATATGACTAAAATGCCTGGTGACCCTAGATAATTACAACCCTAGCCACTCTTTCCCGCCTCTTTTCTCTCTTCTTTTCACTCCCCTTTTGTTTTCTTTTCATTCCCTGCCGCCGTACTCCTCCATATCCTCGTGCTTCGTCCTCCGTCTGCAATCCATTCTCCTCTCCGCCGGTGTAAACTCCTTCTTGGATTCTCACTTTGTAGTCTTTGTACTGGGATTATTCGTTTGGTATTTGAGAAAATACCATTCTGTTTTGCTTATCTAGGGTTTTGGGTAGCAAAATTCTTTGTTTTTGCAGTTGGGCGACTTGGATCAGGTACTTTGTTTCCTCCTCCATGTCTAGTTTGCTTTTTTATTTTTTCTGTTATAGAATATTGCTATCCTGCATATAAACATCTGCTCATCAAGCTTGGTTTTCCTAATTCTATTTAGTGAAACTGAATTCAATCTCCTCTAATGGTCTTCTGCAATATGAAATGAGATCCATAGCTTGGAATAGCCAGAATAAGCAAACTAGGAATTATTAGATCTTGCATTGTTAATATGACCGTATTCTTTAGCAGTGTACTGCTGAATGCTGAAGTAAAGATGAATTAGCAACGATCCATTTCAATTTTAAGCTAACTTCACAACATGCCCATTAGCTTTCCAACAATAATTAAGGCCAAAATAAAATTACATAAGCAGATTTCAGAGATTGGTAGAAGTTGATTTGTTTATTCCACTTTAAAACAGATGCAGATTTCAGCTAATTTTAAATGTATTTTCCAGAACTACATAAGATCCAGTCCGGTTGTATTGTATGTTAATACACTGTTGTTGTTTTGTCGAATAAGCTATATGATTTTACAGATGGAATTTATTCCTCTCTTTAATCGTGTTGTCATCTTTACACTCATACCCAATGACGAATTCATTCATATGAATACTGATTTGAAGGTGTGAAGAAAATTCATACCAATTTTTCTACGATCTTTGATCAATTATACTTTGGGTGATTGACTATGTAGGCTTTAATTCATAATTGGGAACAAGGTAGATTTTAGATGAGCTTAGTTTGATTGTTTGTCTTATTAGAGTTAGTCTTCTTGATTCACTTATGTTTCTGAAAATGTCAATAATGAAATAAGAGGAATTCTTGTTTAATTTTCTTTTTTGGATCATTGAGTAATGACTAGCGAGTGATTAATTTTTTTTAAGAAGTGGGTTTCAAGTTTGTTTACCTGATCTTACTTGAACTTAATTTTTTTTCCTCTATAAATAACATAAACAAGCTTTGATTTGGTTTTTAAGCTGAGTTTGAATTGTTTCATGAAGGATTGGTTTCTTTGCAGTGCCTAACTTCCTCAAAGGACGGCGTTGTTCTCCACCTCAAGCCTTAACAATATAAAGACAGTTGCTTTGACAAACCGCATTGTTTTGCAATGGAGGGGGTTGCATATGCTTACACTACAAGCTTCACAAAACAATCATTTTTGTTGTCTGCACTGTCATCATCATCTATTATAACCATCCACCAAAAGCATCACAAAACTATTTTAAAATCCATATCTCGTAGAAATCTTGTTATCTGTGCTTCATCTGGTTCTAGTTCTGGTACTTTCTCTCATTAAAATAAGAGAAATTATGTAGAAAATCCTAAAAAATTTTGGACACTATATGAAGATATTAATCAAATGAAAAGAACCTTGGGAAAACAAAGGAGTGAAGAAAACGAAAAGATACGCAAGCATTTCAAGAACAATGTTGTCTTAATGATTTGTTGACAGCATATTGAACAAAGTTGGATGAAGTGTCCAAATAATATTAGTTTTGAATTTAAAAGTTCTAACTGTAACATTTTAAGACCAAGTGTTTTGTATTTGAGTGTCCAAAATCATGAAAGTTCTCTATGTGCTTATCAAAAGATAAGAAGTATAATAAGCAATTATTTGAAGCTTTTTAAAATGTTTTTGGTGTTTTTTTTTCCGGGGTTCAGCTGTGAAGTTGCTCGATTATGGAGCTGGAAATGTTCGGAGCTTAAGGAATGCTATTCACTATCTTGGCTTCGATATAGAGGATGTGAGACACTTTACTTTTTTTTTTCTTTAATTGATTGATATTTTGGTTTAGTTTTGTAATTTATCTAAACATTTGTGAGTATCTAGATTGATTAAATCTTTACATTCCAATTTTGTAAGAGTAGCCTTTTTTCTTCAAAATAAATTCAGATAAAAATTTTATTAGATAGATACAGAGTTATATGAAACGAATATTTTGCTTTGATGATATGTCTTCGTATGATTGCATGATAATGCTATATTATTTCCCACAGAATAAATTTGATAATGCTTTTTTGTTGGTAAAGTTGTTTTTCCTTTGCTCTTTATGGTGGCATGATTTTAATAATACGAAGATAATTGTGTCATTGTAAGTGTAATTGCTTTTAAAGAATGGATATGTAGTAAGTGATAAATCTACTATTTCTTTTGAATTAAAATGTAGGTGCGAACTCCAAAAGACATTTTGGATGCTGAACGCCTTATCTTTCCTGGTGTTGGTGCATTTGGTTCAGCCATGGATGTATTGGTCAAGACCGGGTATGAGTTTTTGCATGACTAATTTTTTTTGAAAATAATATTTAGAGCAGCTTTCATTTTGTGATATGAACGTGGTAGGATGTTAGCACATCAGATAATCCCTTAGTTACAAGCAATTCACACATGGGAAGTATAGACTAAGTCAACATATCTGATTGATTGTTGGCAGTTTATTGTTAACAGTTTCGTTGTTGTTCCTATTTTATTGTTAGTGGTAGTTTTCCATTTCAAATTGGAGGTTGTGTCTCCACCTTCCCACTTTATTTCCTTGCTTTAAGGGTGGTTATTCCACCAAGCTGTATTTAAGAGATAGTGAAGTTAATAAAAAAGATTGTTCAGAATCTATTCAAGTTTTGAGTACTTAAAACTCAAGAGATCTGCAGGCTCTCTCTAACAAGCCAGCATTACAAACATAGGTCAAAAAAGAAGCCTTCCACCCAAATACCCAGCTTACCTCAAACTAAACCCCACTTTTCCACACACCGCTCCATAACTCGATCCGTTTCAAGGGACCGTAACATAGGAACTTTCAGAAGTATGTGTGATGTTCACCAACATGCATACATGGTGTCCATGTTGCAATGGGAAGAATTATCATTAGAGAATTTCCTGCATTACTTTTCTTCTTGCTCATGTTCATGTGATGTCATAAACCTTATGTGTGACTTCTAAGAAAGCCTATGTGTGAAATTTAGGGATTTCATTTCTTCTTCTTTTCCACTTTATTTATTTATTTCCTGTTTTTAGCGTTCAGATGAGAAAATTTATATAAACCAGATTGACCTAGCTGACTTACATCATAGGTATAGGTAAGGCTTGCTGGCAATGGTTGGCCAATAGTCTCAATTGTCATAATATTACTATTTGCATTTGTTCTTTTACTCCAGATGACCTTTTAAAATGGCTAATGTATCTTTTGTTTAGCTCTAAATTATAACTTTGTAGTTAAATTGTCAGTTTGGAGGTTTTTTATTTGTCATTGGTTGCAGGATGGCTGAAGCACTTTGTACCTATATCAAGAATGATCGCCCATTTCTAGGCATTTGTCTTGGCCTTCAACTACTTTTTGAGTCTAGTGAAGAGAATGGACCAGGTCAATTTTCAGACAACTCAATTTTTTGAACATCTTGAAAGACACATTCATATATATAAAATCTATTAAACATCAGACTTGATAAAGTTTCTACACTTGTAGCAAGTATTTTCCTTGTCTATTTTCCCGAGTATATGTTATGTTCTATTATGTGGTGGAATGAGCATCTTCCTTTGGTGTTTTAAATCTCATCTTATTTTATTTTATAGATAAATATTTATAGATAGCTTAAAGAAGAGGTGTAGAATAGGAAGAAGAATGATTTGGCAGGAAAAAAAGGAGAAACTGAATAGCCTTCATTTTGTAAATAGAGAAAATTTTGAATGTTTTCTTTGTAGCATGTTTTCATTTCTTTTCTAGTTATTAGCTTTTTAACTTGACTCCATGGTGTACATTTCTTTCAGTGAATGGTCTTGGCTTGATACCTGGTGTGGTTGGGCGGTTTAACTCTTCAAATGGTTTTAGAGTACCCCATATTGGCTGGAATGCTTTGCAAATTACAAAAGACTCTGAAATTTTGGATGACATTGGAGATCACCATGTCTACTTTGTTCACTCTTACCGTGCCATGCCAGTATGCTCTTCCTTCTCAACCTCTTAATTTGTTTCTCACCCTTGCTTCGTTGATGTGTCTGTTGCAAAACCTTTCAATAAGCATACTTTGTACTGTTTGGTAACCTATATTATTGTATTTGTGGTAGTCAGATGATAACAAGGAATGGATTTCATCTACATGCAATTATGGTGATGATTTTATAGCATCTATCAGAAGGGGAAATGTGCATGCAGTTCAGTTCCATCCAGAGAAGAGTGGAGGCAAGATATTTTGTGCTCTTAGTAGTTATCTTTTTTTGTTTTTGCAAGTTTCAAATTTCAAAATGTAGAAGTTACTTCCTGTAGGTATGGAAAGGATTTGTCACATGCATGTCTCTATTGACAAAGTTTACCTCTATGATTTTCTTTCTAGTTTTCTTTGCCTTTGTGAGAAAAAATTGATAATTATAACCATTTTTTTTGTAATAGTAACATGGGTGCATGAAGAGCTTCAGAAGGGGAATGTTTAAGTTGTTTCTCCACACTTTAGTAGTTGGTTCCTTCATATGGTTTTCCAGTATAATTACTTGGTGTTATCTGATTATTGGACATGTTTCTTTGCAAAACTGTAAAATATCATGCTTTTTTTTTCTCAGAACAAATGTCAGGCATAATGTTAACTTGTTTATTGACACTGATAAGTAAATTAAAATTGTTTCAGATGTTGGTCTTTCTGTATTGAGAAGGTTTCTAGATCCAAAGACACAGGGGACAAAGGTAGTCTTGTATCCTTGGATTTAATTCATCTAGTTCTTTTATCAACTTTTCGTTCGTCTAAGGGTCTGAATGATTCACTTGACTACAGAATCCTACTCAGGGGAAGGCTTCAAAACTTGCAAAGAGGGTAATACTTTGTGAAACTTGAATTATTTTTCACGTAAATCTGGGTTTTCATTTGAGCTTTCGAGTTTTCACGTACTTTGGGAGTTTTCTACTTGTCTCAATTGCATAGCTCTAAATGAGTACTTTAACATGTTCTTCTTGATGTTGTGGATCATATGGCTCTATGGTGACCGATATTACTTCTATTCAGGTGATTGCTTGTCTTGATGTTAGGACGAATGATAAGGGGGATCTCGTTGTAACCAAAGGGGACCAGTATGATGTACGAGAGCACACAAAAGAAAATGAGGTAAGGCCGAGAAGGTCATTCACTGTTCTAATGCCATGATCTGTTTGATTTCAGTTTTAGATTGGTGGATGCCTAAAATTTTTTTTTTGCATATCGATGCATCATTATTACCATACATGACAAATGTGGGATGTGCCCCTTGATATGAAAGGACATACGAGTTGAATAAAGTTGTAATGATGGCTTCTTTTCTTCTTGATCTCCTATCTTATGTTTAATCGAGAGAACTTAGCTGGATTTAGATGTGGTTTTAATTTCATCTGAAACTTTTGTAGGTGAGAAACCTTGGCAAACCCGTAGAGCTTGCTGGACAGTATTACAAAGATGGGGCTGATGAGGTATGCTTATAGTTTTGAGGTGTTTTATGTTTATATTCCAATATCGGCAATCATTTAGCCTCTTCAAAGCTTCTTTTATACTTTGAATTATTGATTTCTTTTATACTTTAAATTTCAGGTCAGTTTTTTGAACATTACTGGCTTCCGTGACTTCCCATTAGGCGATTTACCAATGTTGCAGGTCTTTGACATTTTGCGAATATCTTTTGATGTAGCATTTTAAATTTATTTTTTAGTGTTTGTATATGGGCATTTTGATATGTGTATTTATATTACTTTCTGTGATTTGCAGGTATTAAGACGCACTTCAGAGAATGTTTTTGTCCCACTAACTGTTGGAGGTGGTATACGAGATTTTACAGATGCAAATGGCAGGTATGCGTCTGTGTTATACTGTGATCTACTTTTCATATATTTTAAGATTAAGATTTTAATTTATGTTCAAGTGATTTATTAGACATTCCCTGATACTGCAGGTGTAAGTGATCTTTGTGTAATTAATCAGTACAATTTTGTATAGAAATTTATTATATACATAACTTTTCAGGCACTATACTAGTTTGGAAGTTGCTTCAGAGTACTTTAGGTCTGGGGCTGATAAAATTTCCATTGGGAGTGATGCAGTTCATGCAGCAGAAGAATATATGAAAACCAAAGTTTGCAAGTTCACCTTATTAAAACTTGTTACTTGTGGAGTTCAGATGGTAATACATTGCTATCTTTCCTACTAATAGTTCTGTATATGCTTCTTTTAGGTAAAGACAGGAAAGAGCAGCTTAGAACAAATTTCTAAAGTCTATGGAAGTCAGGTGATTCCTACTCTAGTTTTTGATGTGTTGATGTCTGTACTAATATGTATCCGTTTATATTTGTTAATCTTCTCAACTATATGCGTACTTTGGGTTCTAGCTGATCGTGAGGTTTTTGCTGCTTCTTGCTTGACATTTAATAAATGTTAAAGAACAAAAAGAATCTATAAATAGTATATGGTTGGATATGGGAGTTTAAAATGCATATACATTTGGGTGGGCCTGTATAATAAATTTTTTATTGTGTTGGTTGATATTTTGATTTAGTAACACAACTTGGAAAAAATGGATGAAAGCAGGAGGCTTTTTATCGTTGCAAGCATAGGCAATTGGTGAGGAAAGTGTTCATTTATGTGCTGGCAATATTCAATACTTAATCTTTTTTTTCTTTTTTCATTGGATCAGTATGTGTGTTTTACCTGTACAACTGGTGTCAGTTTGGTTGCTAATTTTTGCTATTACTTGGTGTAAGCCAATTTGGATTTAATTTGGTGGGTACTTGCTTCATTATATTGCAGTTTCAAGAATGAATTTTTAATGAGTTGATTGAATATTTATTTGACAGGCGGTAGTTGTAAGCATTGATCCTCGTAGAGTGTACCTTAAAAGTCCTAATGATGTGCAGTTCAAGACCATAAGGGTCACAAAACCAGGTAATAAAGATCTTTACTGTGTTTGGATTTACCATTCATGTGAAATCTACATTGTGTTCATTAAAAATTCTGCTCTCTGTGGATGGAAGCTAGAAAAAATTTCCAAAGACATTTCAAGAAATTTTACACTTTTAGAATTCACAAGGATTTCTAATTAGAACATCCCGTTTGGTGTCAGGTCCAGGTGGAGAAGAATATGCTTGGTATCAGTGTACGGTAGGCTTCTTTGCTCTCTGCCTCCTGCATGCTCATTCATAAAGCATTTATCTGGATAAACTTTTTAAAGCTAGCAGTATGCCTTAAACCTATCTTAAAATTGTATCTTGTACTAAGCAAGCAAACACATCATTCCAGAAACACATCAAAACCTCCACCTACAAATATTAATCACCACTCTGAAAGGACACTTAAAACCTAGGACCCAAACTGATGGAGAATCATGTAGGGGTTTTATTTTATTAGGGTAATTTTTAATCACGGTTATATTTAGCTTTTTTATTTTTATTAGGGTTTTGGGTTTTGTTATAAATATGTTATTTTAGTTTCGATTAGGTTTTGGATGATGAATATTTTAGATTTTGAGTTATTGAATATTCGAGATTTTCTCCCTCTATTGTTCTCTTTGGATTTCTCCCCTGATTTCCTCTGTTCCTCCGTAATTGCTTCGTCTAGGTCTGATTTTCTCTCTAAATCTCTCTTTCCACCACTTGTTCTACATCAAATAGGCATTAGGGTCAGCACTTGACCCTGAGTATGTAGAGTTAAAAGAACCAGGAGAAAGGAAGAATATGAAACAATGAAGGCACATGTATTAAGATTGTGATAATCAGATAAAAACATGAAAAATAGATAAAATTGAAATGTGCAAAACATAACAAAACAAAAACCAAGATAGTAAAAGAAAATTAGCTTGAAGGTGCTAATTAATGCAATGCTATAAGGAACAATAGCTTCTAAGCAACAGTCAAATCTATCATAAACTAACAATAGAAGGAAAACAATTGAGAAGAAAGATGTAGGCAATGATAAACTAACACTGTCTCTGATGAGTGGTGTTTTGCCTGGCTCCTAATCTTTGTAATCACAGCTAGCACAATTCATGTACAATCCACTGGACCTTCAGCTGTTGGAATGGGAGACAAAATCTTAAAGAAGCTGGACAAAATACAAGAAGAATGACTTTGAAATCTGAAATCAATGCATTGTTTGATCAAAATCAAAAGTAAAAGTCATTAAAATGGCACAAGTCTGTAGTTCAGGTGCAAGTCCAAGCTCAGCAACATGGAATTCAAATTACAGCTGAAATCTTACCTAGCTCAATAGACAAACCTTCCATGATCATTTGGCACTGCACTTGAAATGTTGCCTCTAACTGTTGGTTCATTGGGAAGCCTTCACTTTTATTTTCAAACATTTCACGGCCAGACCTAGGATCAGGAAAGAGTATCCAAGATGATGAGAACCTAATGTGACTATAATGGAAAGTAAATTTAACGTTATTGAATTGACATTTCCAAATCACATGAAAATCAACATTATATGAAAATGAAACTCAAACTGAAATATTAGCAAATTTTTTCTCAAGCTCAAAGCAACTAACCTTTTGTAATTGTGTTAGCATTGCACTGCAAACACCACTAATGGCCATTCTGGCTTTTCCAATCACCTGATCTCTTTGATTGCTACTGGCATTGTGTAGATGAACCATCAGAATTGGAGCCTTCTACTACTAGAGTAAGAGTAATTCATATTTCCACCCAAAGATTCAAAGTACAACCAACCATGATATCCTGTTTCAACTAATTCTAACTGTTTGACCTTTTCAAAACCCCCATAGCAACCTCAATTGGATCTTGAAAGCTTAAAGAATGCTCTTAAGTACAACCAACCCTGATATCCAATCAGAACACATGTTAGTGGACGCATGTTGTCTGTGTTTGTATCTGTGTTTGCGTTCTTTATGAAAATCATAGTAAACATATAATATAAATATGCAGAAAATTTCAACCAATACGATACAAAGCAAATAACTGAAAATTTGAAAATGTATCCTTTAATAACCAACAATCTTCAACCACCTTTGCCTTCCCTAATAACTTCTACCAAATTAACCCCAAATCAACCTGAAGACCAAATAAAATTATATAAGCCCACCAAAAATAAGCTAATTGTCTTAGGATCTGGAAGAAATCTGGGTTTTGGTCAAAGAGATAGAGAGTTTAGAAAAGCAAAAATACAAACATAATAACATGGATCCATTAACAATCAATCAAGGTTAAATTTTAAAAAAAAAACGATAATCAAGATTGTAGGTATTTTAGCAAGATCTGACGTAAAAAAGGAGATTTCAGAAGTATTTAGAAACAGGTTTGGGTTGGAAAGAGAGAAGAGAATAAAGGGAGAACGAAGAAGGAAGCAGAAAAAAGAGAATAGAGGGAGAAGGAAGCAGAGATCAAAGAATGGGTGAGAGAAAAGACAGCGAGACAGGACGAGAAGAGGCTTGCTGTTACTTTCCATGGCATCGACAGCGATGTGCCATGGAAAATGAAAAGAAGATTTGACTCTTGTTAGGAAGAGCGAGAGGAAGAGAAAGCTAAAGCATATTTACCCAGTCATACCTAATTCCAAACTTGTGTTTACAAACACTAGCATGGGAAGGCCGCTCTCACATGAAAATCACATGGTTTTGCATTTTAACTGTGGCAATTTGGATCATGTTGCATTCTGAGGGCTTGTTTAACAGCTTAATGTATTTATAAATAATATAAATAAATGATTAAATGATCATTGCTTTGCTGCTTATATTTCAGAAGTCTTTATCTTATGCACATCTTGAATGGCTTTCTGTTCCTAAGGTTAATGGTGGGCGTGAAGGTCGACCAATTGGGGCTTATGAGCTTGCAAAAGTAGTTGAAGAACTGGGAGCTGGAGAAATACTATTGAACTGCATTGATTGTGATGGTATAAACAACTTTCTTGTGACATAAACAATTCCCCCTTATAAGTAATTGTTTCCAGTGTGACATTACCATTTCAGATAATTGCTTTGAAAATGACATGAAGAGCCTTTTTTATATTTACAACCAATGGTTAACTGCAGCTGAGAATATTTATCAAGATAGTTTAATGAAAAAGTTAGTAGCTAGTTTTATAAATGGTCATCAAAGTTTTATGTGGTTTCTGTCAAATTTTACTTAACATGCCAATGGGCATCAAAATAACAGAACATGTAATATGTTCAAATGCTTTTATTTTAAGGTATCTGGGACCTGAAGACTTTATCTGAGTTTCTTAATAAGCTAGCTAAATTTAGGGCTTTCTTTGTGTAATTCAGGGCGTAGGAGTGTCTTTTTAGCAGGAATATATTATAAAAAATATGATGCATAGGCGGGTACCTTCTTTTTACCATCCATAGTCTCATTGCCAGTGCCATTAGTTGCCTCTCCAATTGGAGTACAAGGATTATCCCTTCTGCAGGATAAGTCTCTCCTGTTACAGTGCAATTGTTGGGGTTTTGTCCTTCCCTGCGGTCTAAGTTGAAGTTGAATAAGTTTTGGAGTTGGATTCCCTTGGTAAGAGTGTGGAAGCCATTGAGCAAGGGTGTTCTCAATCTAGATAGCAAGTCAAATCTAGTGTTGGCATTTTGCTGTTTAACCTACAGGAATATTGTATTTATTCCTGAATCCTGGTCTTTTCTTTTGATTATTTTCATGATCATGATGCCCACCTGCTGACTTTGCAGGTCAAGGAAAAGGATTTGATATAGATTTAATAAAGCTGATATCAGATGCTGTCAGCATCCCTGTAATTGCAAGTAGTGGTGCTGGTGCTGCTGAGCACTTCTCGGAGGTATTCATGGAAACGAATGCATCAGCAGCTCTTGCTGCTGGCATTTTCCATCGGAAGGAGGTAATTATTTAATACAAGTGCTTATAATTTTGAGAATTTTAGTTTTCCCAGCTTGATAGAATAAGAAAAAACAATATATTTCCTCTTCAACTGCACCAGGCAAAGGCTTCATTAATTTAAACTCTGATTACAATTTCTTGATTCTTTGGGTTTTAGGTGCCCATTCAGTCCGTAAAAGAACACTTGTTGAAGGAAGGCATTGAAGTAAGGGTATAACCATATCTGTTCTTGTGTCGATGAGGCTCCTGATTTTGTTCCTAAAATCAAGAGTGGGCAGAAATGCGAAAACCTGATAGCTGTTTTCGTATGTTTTCTTTCATTTTTGCAGTTTCGGGATTGATTTCGAAATGATCTGTTCGTATGTAATCACTATTTTGGAAATTTTGAATGTTTTGTTATGTACTTTATTTGTTCTGTTTGGACACCTCATGCTCCTTTCCCAACTTCGTAAATGGCGTACTTGTGATGCGAGAAAGCTTCTTGCTGATAGTTTTTGCTTTGTCGTAAGAGTAGCATTTTTCTTTGAAGTAAGATTCAGATATAAAAATGTTATTAGCTAAATATAGAGTTTCTTCTAGGAAATGAATATTTTGCTTTGATAATATGTCTTCTTATGATTGCATAATAATACTATATTATTTCCCACAGAATAAATTTGATAATGCGATTCTGTCAATAAAGAATTTTTTTTTCCTTGTCTCTTTTTGAAGTATGTGGTGGCATGGTTTTAAGAATATGATGATAATTTGTATCATTGCAAGTTTAATTGCTTTTAAAAAATGCATGCGTAGTAAGTAATAAATCTATTATTTCTTTCAAATTAAAATGTGGAAGACATATATATATATATATATGTGCACATATATATATTCTTTATTACTCATCAAAGACTTGATAAAATTTCTACACTTATACGATTGAATTATGATAACATTCATCCGCCTAATGCTGTAAAGATGATACTATAAGGTGCCTGCAGCCGCAGCCTTCGACAGAAAAGACGAACGGTTTATGTTAGTGTTTCTTCCTAAATCCTCTGCTAAAAAAGAAAAAGCAAACTCTGGGGCTTGGGCTTTGGCTTTGGACTTGTAAACGCACTTTAAAAGCCCAAAAGTGAGCGAAACGTGGCGTACCCAGATAACGAGTGAACACCTTAAAACCAACTCCGGCAAGCACCTTATCATTTCTCCTTCCTCCTGGAAACTGGAATTCTGTCAAAGCACTCTTATACAGTCTTAAACCCTCGGCAAAAAGAATCAGCTTTTTGTTCTTTGCTTGCCCCATTGAGAGAAGAAAATGGCTACTACCTTCTTTAGGAGACTCGCCAAAGCTACCCCACCATCCTTCACCAATGCATTTGGAGGTCAACCCAAGTCCGGTTTTGCTGGATTTCGCTTCTCGGCAATCGCAGCCGTTGCTAGTGGGATCTCCTCTTACTACTACTTCTCCGAGTCGAATTTGGTTAGTTTTCTATAAATTCCAATCTGGGTTTGTTTCTTTTGATTGTTGTGGCAATGTGGGATGCTTTGGAATTGGAGGGATTATGTGATTGGTGCAATGGGTTTATTTTATGTGTGCATTTTAAATGTGTTTTTTCAATAGCGATGTACATGTATGGTTTTTTCTCTGGAATTTTTTTTATGGGGAGGTCTCAATATCCGAATGAATGTTGGGTGTTGATACTTATTAAGAGTTCTGTATTTAAATTAGGAATGGTTGTACCTGGGCTGTTCATTATGTGACTTCTAATCTGTTTATCTAGATGATTTGATTTACTTGATGAAAATTATATTTTGAGGTTCATATCAGATTTTGCTGCTCGCTGCTGCCTATATATAATTTGGCCTACACATATGGGCTTTTTTATAATTGTTGTGTTATCACTTATCAGTGTGCATCCTGATTTGAGTAAGTATTTTGTTATTCTTTCTGGATACAGGTTCATCTAGATCAAATCAATGAAGAGACAGGTCCAAAAGTTGGTGAGCAGAAATTTACTAGACCTCCTTATTGTTAGATGACTGAATTGTGTTATTTAGTTGAACCGTGAAATCCATGATCCCATTCCCCTCCCTAGAGAGAATATTAGTCAACAATAAAGCCAAAAGTGGTTGCATAAACTATAAAGCATCTGCTTTAGTTTCTTTTTCATCTATCTTATAAGGTACTAGCTCAGGGGATGCTTTTATACATTTTCAGCTCTGAAGTCGGATAAGTGGATTGAATTTAAGTTGCAAGATACTGCAAGGGTTAGTCACAATACTCAGTTATTCAGGTATATATTTTTTAATCAATCATTGTCATAGGTGTGTTGGTTTAATCTATACTAGTAACATGGTCATCTGCATAAACTTTTTCGATTAATAGGATAAACTCTAGAGATAAAATTTACATTTTACACCTTTTTGCACTTAAATATCTTATTGATCTCTCTCACTGATTTGTGCTTCATTGAGAAGACTAATGTTTATCAGATTCTGCACTATCAAATAGGCAAAAACATGAGAAAAAAAGCGATCAATACTTACTGATTAAGAGCAAAAAAAAGTAGTCACAACTAACTTCAAAACAAGGACATAACTTGTTCATCCAAATTTTAAATTCAACGTCTTAACCAAAGGTTTTTGCACTGTTAATCCTCCTCAAGAAGTTGTTGCCACAACTAACTCCAAAACAAGGACATAACTTGTTCATCCAAATTTTAAATTCAACATCTCAACCAAAGTTTTGCACTGTTAATTCCTCCTCAAGGTGTCTTAGAACAATTACCTTCCTTATTTGCTTTCTTTTCAAAATGGCAGGTTTTCATTTGATCCCACTGCTAAGTTGGGTTTAGATGTCGCTTCATGCATCCTTACGAGGTATGTTCTCTTGTTCTAATGAGAGGTGCTTATTAAAAATTTATGGTTACTGTGGAGGATTTTGAAATTTGCATTTACGAGCACATTTTAGATGAGATTTGGAAGTACTCTACCTCTACTCACTATTTTGATGCATTCTTGTTACTGCAGGGCTCCATTAGGACAAGATGCTGAAGGAAAAACACAATACGTCATAAGACCGTAAGCCTATATATTGAACTCGTAAATAGTTTGATTTAGACTTCCCTTGTCATGGCTGTTATTCTAAATTGGTAATTCATTAGTCATAGTTTTTTGGTTATTCAACTTATATTCCCATGGTTTAAACTGCATTTGTCACATGTTTCCATTTCCTTTTTTTGTTATTGTGGTAAATATCATCTGCTTGTGAGGGAATAAATTCTAAAGCTTCACTTTGTCCATACCTCTAAGATGAGGTTCTTGATTACTCCTTGGCTCATGAAGATTGAAAGAGATGAAAGTTTCCAATCAGTAACATTGTATGATAGTCTATAAATAGAAGGTTAAAAATAGGAGAGAGGAAAATTCCTCAAATACAAGGATTATATGCTTCTGTTTTCCTTAATTGAAATTACCTTTGACATCGCTTAGTTTAAATCATTCACACAATGCATATTATAACTTCTCTGGAGTTTTAGTAAAATAATCCTTTAGAATTACCAAAGGAATAGCTGAAATTTTAAAATCAGATTAGTAGAAACTCTTAGGTGGAGTATGTGTCTGTTTTTTTTATACAAAATCATATTTCAACCTACTTATTCTGCAATAAACAGATATTAGTTGCTAATATATTCCTACTGGAATAATTTCAAAAATCAGGTATACTCCTATATCAGACCCAGATGCTAAGGGATACTTTGACTTGTTAATAAAGGTAGGAAGTGATAAATGCCTTCACCTTTTTGTTTTCTTTTTTTCTCACATTTTGAAGATGTTCTTGTCTCATATATGCAATGCCACCCATGTGAATTGCTTTCTCCACAACTTAAAGATAAAAGTTGCAGGTGTATCCAGAAGGAAAAATGAGTCAGCATTTTGCTAGCTTAAAACCAGGCGATGTAGTTGAAGTGAAAGGGTAGGCATTCACTGTCATAGTTTTCATAGAGATCACACTATTTGTCATCTTTACACTGAATACATTTATCTCTTGCAGGCCCATTGAAAAGCTCAGATACTCTCCCAATATGAAGAAACACATTGGCATGGTTAGAGCTGGTTTCCTAGTTTCTTGTTTATTTTTCTCACAAAAAAGGAAAACCCCTAGGGAATTTGTATATTTAACTGCTAAAGGATTCAATTTTTCGTGCTCATTTTATATACTGAGGTTTCGTACTTACTTTTACTAGTTTAACCTGATTAAATGGCTGGGGTCAAATATGTTTTTAACAAGATGCCTAAGATATAGCTAATGGTATACTTTGTGTTCCCTAGAATTAATGCCAAAAATTCAGCCGATGTCATATATTTTGTTCTCTACAATTATCACTTCAGTGCACATGCTTTCTGATTGTTTAATCATACCATCTACCAAGTAATCAGAATAGTATTGTTATAGCGGTATCATGTTTTCCAAGGTTATTGAAAAAGTCTGATCACCATTTGTGCTCAATTATATGATGCTGTTCCAGATTGCAGGTGGGACAGGCATAACTCCAATGCTTCAGGTAATTGAGGCTATACTGAAGAAGCCTGATGACAACACTCAGGTAGGCTTTTGGATTGCTAGAATTGCATAACCTTCTGTCTATTATTAAATGTCATTTTTCACTTTTGTGTGTGTGTGTGTGATAATTTTAGACCAAATATGAGCAAGGTTTGAACTTTTACCTACTCCGACAGGTGTCACTGCTTTTTGCCAATGTCTCCCCGGATGATATACTGCTAAAGCAGAAGCTTGATATACTTGCTGCTAGCCACCCAAATCTTAAGGTACCAATTCTTTCAATATGAGAATATTTGCTGCGCAGGTAGAAATTTTGCTCAAACAGTAACTTGTGTATTTTCTTTTCATTTTCTTTTTTCATTGTTTTCCCAGGTTTTCTACACTGTGGACAATCCATCAAAAAATTGGAAAGGTGGTGCTGGTTACATTTCAAAGGATATGGTCACAAAAGGCTTACCTGGTCCTGGTGAAGATACTCTAATCCTTGTAAGTCACTTTATTAATTCTGGATCTCGACCTTATTCCGTTAATCTGTTTGCCAAAATGTGGAGTAAGTGTCATATGGAGTGGACGGCACCTTTTTCTTTAACATTACTGCAATTCCAGAAAGATTAAATACATGTTTGCCATGTTTCTTGCTCAGTCTTGGTGAAGAACTGATATCATTTTCCAACAAGCAGAGGCCTATTTTTCTGACTCCATTTGCAAAGACAGAAAATATTAAACACTCACACACATGCACTCAAAAGTTTTATTTTCGCCTCTGTTGTTTCGTTAAACAAGAGGTATGGTTAGACTAAGACCTTCCAGAGGGATGCTATTCAAGTGGCACAAGAAGCAGCCTGTAAGTAGGCTGTTTCTGTGACCATGCATGCGCTTGATCTTTTGGTCTTTGCAACTCCCTTCAGGATTAAATCTAAATGAGCCTTTTTTCAGATAGTCACTGTTGCTTGAGATTAAGACTTGTCGAGGACATTTTGATACTTTCTCGTTGAAGACCAGGTTATAGCTTTGGAAAATGGCCATAATCCTGCAACCTAACTTTGCAAGTTCCAAGCACCCGCCCTGACAATCCACCTGATCAGCATTCAATAGAGTTGTATTTCTTAATATGCACTAGGCATTTGTTTTTAACACTCCTGTTGTTTCAGACACCTAGATCACATGCAGCAACAAGATTATGGCCATCTGAAACAAATAGGACATACACCTTGCCTACTCACTTTGCCCTGTTTTTCCCCTGTTTGTTCAGGTATGCGGTCCACCTGGGATGATGAAACACATATCTGGTGGTAAGGCTAAAGACTATTCACAAGGAGAGGTATGAAAGCCAGCATTTTTTGTTTTCTTCTTTCGTAATTGTTACCTCATTGTCTTATCCTAACTGAACCCGCCTCGGCATGTAGCTAACCGGCATACTCAAAGAACTTGGATACACCGAGCAAATGGTTTACAAATTTTGAAAATCAAGGATTTGAAGGGATGACACTCGTGGTTTGAACATAATTTTTGTGTAATAAATGTTTCCTGAACGAACACTAATCGGGCAGAGTTTAAAGCCCAGGGTATGAAATAATTTTTTAGTGATATTCAATGTAAAGATAGTACATTGTCAAAGCTTGTACCGAGTGAAATCAAGATACAAAGAGCTTTACAAAGCCTCTGCAATTGGTTGTTGTGGCCAGGTGTAGTGTCTAAATCAGATATGCCAATTTGGGCAACTGTTTGTTTAGATGGATCCATTTGTGGGTCAGTGAGAATAAATTGTATGACTGGGAACTCAAAAATGCTCGGAACATTCGAAAGGCACGCCAAATGACAAAAAAAGCAAGTTTCTTTTGATGATGAAGAGGATAGTAGAAATGAGATTAGCAAGTTAATAAATTTAAATATTATTAACCGGTAAGTGCGTGCACACTCAGTTCATCTTCAAGTTGTAGTAAACTTTTTTATTTTGCCATCAAAATGAGGTGTTCAGTCATTTTAAGTAAATGCTCGAATCCTTCGCACTTCAGGACCCAAATTAAGATCTTCCATCCAAATGAGATGTTCGGGTACCCATTTATTCGTTTTAAGGGTAAGAGAGGACAAAAGGTTCAATGCCCATCTTCAGGCGAACATTTTCTCCTCCTTTTGAGTAACTGAAAGTTTTATCCAAAAAACAGAACAGGTCTTTTAAGCAACAAGAAGTTGGGAGAAAGATGGCCTCCCAGGATCTAACTAGTTAAGTTAGCTTGGGTTATACCCCGATCATACATAATACTTTGTTTAAAGGCCTATCAGATATACTAGGAAGGGAACAAGATCTGGCTCTAGCGTCCGCAGCAACTTGTTAAAAGACAGCTTCAGGATCCATGGGCGAACCTTGCAAGTCCTTTACCTTCGAGTTAGCTAATTAGCCACATGAATTAAGCAACTCTAATTGATTATCATTTGCTCAGTAAGACTTGGTGTTTCTAAATCATTAAGGGAATTTATTTATATTGAAACTGATGTTTTATCATTTAGCCTATAATATCAGTCTTCTCAGCCAGGAGAATTTTGTGACAAATAAAGTATTGGATAACGCTAGACAAAGAGAAAAGATTTTACCCCTTCAAAAAAAAAAGAGAAAAGATTTTATGAAACAGTTATCAATATATTATTTTAAAAAATATAATTACGTAATATGATTTAAATTAAACTGATAACAAAATTTCTTAAAATTCTTAATCGTCATAGTTGATCCAATTTTCTACCCATAGTTGTAAAGACAATCTCATAATGAGAGTGCATCATTCAACAGGAGTGTGTTCTTGCTTCCGGAGAGCAGATTAAGCCTTTACAGATGCTGAGAAAGAACTTTTGACTCTACCCAAGAACAAGAAGAACAGGGCTGAGGAACTGCCACTTGAAATCTGTTCAATCTCTTCGACTATGTCCACCCCATACCGTAATCAGCATTGTCGCTTGCTCTTTCAACTGAGAAATGGCGACCGTGTTCTTCCATAGGCTTGCCAAACCAATTCTTCATGTATGCCTCTTCATTCATAGTTCTGATGCATCAACTACCTCACTGCAGGGCTCCGTTGAAACAAGAGGCTAAAGGAAAAAACAAGTGTCATACGAGCATAAGGCTCTATTAGCGACCTTACAATTTAGTATTTGATTTTCACTTATTTGGTACTACATAGCATACTAATTGTTGATTTTGTAGTCATTTATGTACAACTTCTGGGTACTTTCAAATTTCTACTGTATTTGCCCTTGGTTTAGACTTTAGAGTTCAGACAGGCAGGAGATTTGAATTTTGTTTGTCCATACGACAAGTTGGAAAATCACTTCTTTACATCAAATTTTGTTTACTCGCCATGTTCAGGAGCATAAGTTTCTCTGATATTATCAGCCATTGCAAAGATGTTCAGAACGATACTACCAGCAAAGCTTGTCCGGTTTTTTTTTTAATTTATTTATTCAGGAAGAGGTGGCTTTTATGATGACTTACAGCGTTGATTGTCGAAATCTCTGACAAACTTTAGCTGAATCTGATAGTCTCTTCAATCTATACGCAGAAATTTAGAGGCTTGGTGTCAAAATACAACAATCCAAAAGGGAACAAGGACACTTTTTCTTCTTAAATTTGGTGAATTATTTTGCTTATTACTTGAAAAGAGTTTACTTTTTACTCTTAAAAGCGCTTGCATTTTTTTTGAAACTTTCTTGTGTTGTGTTGGGTGCAACAACTTTTGTTTCATCGTATTATATAAAGAAGAGGAAAATACCAAGGAGTTTTTTGTAGATTTATTTAAAAGTCAGATTAAAGCTTCTAAAGTGATATATTTCTCTAACTTGGTAAGACTTTTTTATAAAAAGTTTAATATTAAAAGTGAAAGTAGTTCTCCTAAGTATCTTGATCATGCTTATGAATTAAGTAGCTTTGTTTATCATGTGGTTGGCTTCATATGTCCATGTCCTCGACGATGAAATCTCATCTTCAGTTATTTCTTATGTAATCAAGATTGTTAAATATATGAGCTTTCCCCTTACTCTACTATTTGTATCATTCTAAGACTACTGAATCGATTGGCCAGTATATAGTCTTGACTTATGTGATACAAGAATAACCTCCTATACAAAGATCTCCAGTATAATGGAGCACAAGAAAAGCTCATACCTTTAACAATCTTGATTGCATAAAGAATAACTGAAGAATACCCTTAACAATCTTGATTGCATAAAGAATAACTGAAGAAGAGATTCCATTATGTGAACAGTCTAGGAGGGCATGATGTACTTCAATTTTGATTTTCCTACGAATATAGAGTTTAGTAATGACTCTCATACCATCAAGGACTCCCTCCAGCATTGTTGAGAGTAGTTATGTAGACAAAATTCTTAAAAGACTTTTTCTACTTGGCACCTATTGTGAGATAAAGATCCAAATTTAATAAAAAAACGTGAAAATTCATTATGTTCAAATTTGAACTTCAATATCGATAACATCTTTTATTTGAACGATTTCACTATAAATGCAGTCCTAATGATAGCTAACAGATGCACATGGATGCATATCCATTTGTTTTGCACACATTACTTCATAGAAGCAATCTTCTCACCTTCTTTGATTACATTATCATCTCAATTTTTAGGCACAAGAAGAACTTTACCGGTCCTCTCTACTCGCATTTTCTTAAAAAATGAAAAAGTAATAATACTTGGAAGAGTCTTCTTATTACAAACGAATCTTGGTAATAAGATGAAAATACACGGTTACTACAAGTATGAATAACAAACAACTAGATAAGTATTCATGCATTATCATTAACACCTATACAAAAATTCTTTCCTTACAGGAAAGAATAGAAACAACTTTTTCTCCTAGAAAAAGAGCAAAAGAGAAAAAAAAGTATAAAAAACATTATTATAAAAAGAACTTACTTTTTTAAAGAAATTTTATAGAGAAGTACTAGAAGGTAATCGTAAATTTTTGTTAATCTATTGTCTCCTATTTATAGATTTTGAAAAATTATTTTTTTAGTAAAAATTTAACACTTTAAAATTTTTTATTAATTTTTTTTATATCTCTTTGTATTTCCACATGTATCGAAAGTTTAATCTTTAATGGATTGATCACATTTTTGCAACTTAATTATTCACGTTTTTGGTCTCTTGAGGATGATGAAACACTTATGTGGTGAGGCAAATGACGGCTCACATGGAGAAGTATGAAAACAGTCTTTTATCCTTTTCCCCTGTCTCAGTTATCTAAAATCATATCAAAGAATATGCAAGGAATAAGCATTAAAATATTTTACCCTTCAATTAAAAGATAACATTAACGAGCTGTTATAGGATTCTAGGCAGTGGTGGTTGCATAAGGAGTTCTTTGTAGACCTATTTAAAAGCCAAATTAAAGCTTCTAAAGTGACATATTTTTCTAACTTGGTAAGACTTTTTTATAAAAAGTTCAATATTAAAAGTGAAAGTAGTCCTCCTAAGTATCCAGATCATGCTCATGAATTAAGTAGCTTTGTTTATCATGTGGTTGGCTTCATATGTCCATGTCCTCGATGATGAAATCTCATCTTCAGTTATTCCGTATGCAATCAAGATTGTTAAATATATGAGCTTTCCCCTTACTCTACTATTTGTATCATTCTAAGACTGCTGAATCGGTTGGCTAGTATATAGTCTTGACTTATGTGGTACAAGTATAACCTCCTACACAAAGATCTCCAGTATAATGGAGCACAAGAAAAGCTCATACCTCTAACAATCTTGATTGCATAAAGAATAATTGAAGAATACCCTTAACAATTTTGATTTCATAAAGAATAACTGAAGAAGAGATTCCATTATGTGAACAGTCTAGGGGGGCATATTGAGCTAACCACATGATCAACAAAGCCACTAACTTATAAGCGTGATCTGGATACTTAAAAAGACTACTCTCGTCTTAAATATTGAACTTCTTATAGAAGAACCCTACCCAGTTGGAGAAGCGCACTACTTTAGAAGCTTTAACTTAACTCTTAAATAGGTCTATAAAGAATTCCTTGACACTCTCATTTTCTCTAGAAACTATAATGGAATAAAAGTTGTACAAGGAAGTCCCAAAAGGACATGTACGTCTTCAACAGTAAAATTAAACTATCCCTAAGCAATAGCCATAATATACATAAAAGTATTCCATCTTGCAAGTATAGCATGATGTACTTCAATTCTGATTTTCCTACAAATATAGAGTTTAGTAATGACTCTCATAGCATCAAGTACTCCCTCCAGCATTGTTGAGAGTAGTTATGTAGACAAAATTCTTAAAACACTTTTTCTACTTGACACCTATTGTGAGTTAAGATCCAAATTTAATAAAAAAATGTGACAATTCACTATGTTCAAATTTGAACTTCAATATCGACAACATCTTTTATCTGAATGGTTTCACTATAAATGCAGTCCTAATGATAGCTAACAGACGCACATGGATGCATATCTATTTGTTTTGCACACATTACTTCCTATAAGCAATCCTCTCACCTTCTTTAATTACATTATCATCTCAATTTTTAGGCACAAGAAGAACTTTACTAGTCCTCTCTACTCACATTTTCTTAAAAAATGAAAAAGTAATAATACTTGGAAGAGTCTTCTTATTACAAACGAATCTTGGTGATAAGATGAAAATACACGATTACTACAAGCACGAATAACAAACAACTAGATAAGTATTCATACATTATTATTACCATTTATACAAAAAT